TTTATTCGCTCGTAAATTTTTTAAAGCTATTCTTTCCTTTTTACTTAGATTGTCTCTAATTTTGTTCATTTTCAATTTGATGAGTTCCAGTTTTGTCGCAAATAGATAATTTTCAATTGTATTATTTGCATGTTTCGGTTTATATCCCGATTTTCTCCTGAATGGGTGGTATGTATATGTATTGGTAATATCTTCAAATAGAAATTTACATCTCATCTTCCTGGACATTTCGTCGAAATCATGTAATAGTTTTTGTTTCGCATTTTTATTTCCAGGTTTAGGAATAAATTTTAAACCTTTTGCTAAAACAAGTATTTCATCATTGGTTAGGTTTTCTTGAGTAAATATGTCTATATAATTTAACGCTTTCTCAATTTTTGCATTGTGTTGATTGTTCTTTATAAACTGTTTTCTCCTTCTATTATGAGTATGTAATTTACTCCAATATTTTTTTGTTTTGTTTTCCTTTTTAAAGCCTCTTTTTTGTTTCTTCATTGCTTATGAATTTAGTACTCTATTTGAGAAATTAGGTATCTTAATTTGTTATTCTATTTGAGAACAACTGAGATAAGCAGTCTCTATTTGAGAGATTACTTTATATTTGCTATCCTTCTTGAGTATAATATATTTTAGTAGTCTCTATTTGAGAGAGTACTATATGGTGATATTTTATTTGAGAATATCTTGTACTATCAGTCTCTGTTTGAGAGATGATTGTTATTCCAATAAGATATAAAACAGTTTTTCCCCTTCTATGTTATAGCGTTAAGATAGATCCTGCAAAGTGTAATAGATGAGCGTGTGTATTTTATCAGTCAAATATTTCTATCTAATTACCTCCACGTGATTACAAGATCTTTTATTCAATGTGAAATCTTTGATTGCAATGAAATAGTCAATTTAAGATTTTGAATTACAAAACATTTATCTCTTATAAAATGTCTATTTCTTGACATGCAAAAGAGAGTTCTTTATACTGACATGCTGTATTTGGCAAAACTTTTAGGAAGTGTGGGTCCTCAATGCTCTTCAACTTCGAACTTTATTTGGCCTTTTTAACTTTTTTTATTCGAGTGTCACTGATGAGTCTTTTGTAGACGAAACGCGCATCTGGCGTACAAAATTTCACCAATCCTGGTATCTATAAGTTTAGTTCTATACTCAGTGAAAAAAATGTATTCCTAAAATGTTAAAGGGAATAAGAAAGCTCAACCACAGTTTTCTTTAGAAAAAAGGGGGGAATGATTATACCAGATTATCTTCCATGAAAAATTATTGACTTCATATATATTTTACTGCATAAAACAAGTTATAACTTAATTTGATGTCAGATTCTTATAAATATAGACGACATTTTAAAAAGAATAGTATGACAACTTGATTTGGACATGTTCAAAACTACATGTATAACATAACTGATAACAATAAATATGTATAGAAATAAGCAGCATAATAGTATACATGACATGGAATTCAAATCTAATAGGATTGTAAATTCGCATTATTTTTCCCTTCTCACTATTAACGGTGCTGACTTGACTGTGGTTCATTGAACAGTTTGATTAAATCAAAACAATTAGCAACAGCGTCAAAATTTTGAATAAACTGCCAATGGTAATGAGAAACACTTCCTTTTTTCTGAACAATTAAGGAAACAGTAGTTTACCGTTGTTCAAATCTCATATATCGATTAAGAAGATACAAATCTAGGTAACAAAAAAAAATGAGGGAATATAATGTTTGTTTTTTTGTTTTTTTGTTTTTTTTTATATTTTAATCCGTGAACTTTGGATTTTAGTGTATATATTCTTAGTTTTACTATAAACTTTTATGTGTGCAACATAAACTTTTTATAACTCCTCATTCGGAAATAATTCCAATGAGTAGGTGTTCCATAATTGGAAGTTAATACGTATAGAAGAAGAAGAAGATAATGAACTCCAAATAAAGCATGAGTAAGACCGGGTGCGTCTATTGGGTAAACTTTTTCTGCTATGTATGCATCGCCCACAATCCGAATCAAAATGTCACAATCGGTACTGGAACATAATCGGTAAAATTACAAATAAAACTCACCATAGATACCAGGCTTAAAATTTTGGTCGCCAGACGCGCGTTTCGTCTACAAAAATACTCATCAAAATACTCGAATCAAATACAATTAAAAAGGCCAAATAAATGACGAAGTTGAAGAGCATTGACGGCCTCAAAAATCCAAAATTTTGCCAAAAACTGCTAAGGTAATCTATTCCTTGTGATTAAAATCCTTAGTACTATCTAACTACAAATGATAGCTTCTCGTTATTTGATATCAGTCTTTACATTATGAATATGCTTTAACCTGCGATCCGTTTTCAGATTAATTTGTCTTCAGATTCCTATTTACCGAATACGATTACTTAAAAGCGGAATATCCTTAGTCAGCAATAGCTCACAGTTCTACTTATTGTATTGAATTTTTTACAGTCATAGAAATGGCTTCACGATTAAATCTCATAATCAAAGAAATTAAAACTGATTGATAACATGTAAAATCAAACCACAATTAGTATAGGTGCGCTATAATGAAAAAGATAAGCAAAAGTTCTTGTTCATTGTCATGGGTATATGGATGTTAATTTTATACCCTTAGAGCTGAGGTAAAATAGCCCAAATCGCATAAAAGTTTGTTTTAACACCAACCAACGATTTGAAAATCAATCCATGTTCAAACCTGAGATCAGGAAGAAAAGTTTGTGTTTTGTTTGAAAGTTTGTTTTTTTTTCTCCATTTTTTCGAAATAACAATTTAGGAATTTTACTTCGGGAATATTTTGTTTTTCGTGTTACCTACCTCGTTCAACTGATATTTCCTAAAGAAAATATCTGAATGCGTGTTTTTCATCAACAGATGTTTGAGATATTTTTATATTTAAGCATATTAATTAGGTCACTGTTTATTGCATTGAAGTAAGATTTCTTTTTTAAATGTATGTTGTTTATTTTTTTGGTGTCGAAAATTTTAATATGCTAAACCTAGAAGAATCTGGTACTGTTTTATAATCTTTCTATTTACTTTATAGTACAATTAATTTCATTTTAAAAAATTATTTCAGAGCATATTTTTTCTTCTATATGGCTGTCGTGGTCGAGTGTTATCGTGCACGGATTGAAAAAAAACATGCTAGCAGAAATTCATATAGCATTGAGAACAAGAGTCTCTTAAGTGCCCGTATCGCCAACTTGTCAAAAAGTGAAAAATTAAGCAAAAGCTCGAAAATTAGTCCAAAATCGACATGTAAGTGCAATAACCTATATATGGAGTCTTCCTATGTATTAAGTCATATTTGAATTTTTGTACATCTTGTATTGCTTATTTTTTTTAATGTTTTCAGTTTGAACCGATTTATTACAGTTTTTAAAAAAATTATAGGCAAATAACTAAAAAAATTGAACAGAATCGTCTTAGGGCAAATATTACTATATGGGGTCATATAATGGTTTTTGTCATATAATATAAGTTATATGGTTCGCTACTGACCCCCTACGGATCCATAGAGGGTTAGTAAAATCCATAGGGGGTGAGGCCGACGGCCGAATCCCCTATGGATTTAATTCACCCTCTATGGTCTGTAGGGGGTCAGTAGTGAACCGTATAACGAATTTATCGCACGCGATACTTTTTCTGCAGAAAAATAAACAAATACAAAAAAACATCAATAGATGACGTCACCATTAACAGTAGCCGTGACGTCATGAACCTACTATGAAATCTACTAACCCCCTACGGGTCCATAGGGGGTCACCACGTGACGGCGTTAAACCAATCACAACGTAATAATTTACCCGCGGTGCGATAAGCAGACTTATAAATATGGTATTGCTGATAATTGTTGCTGTCTTGTCTATTATAATTTTTGACATAATAGGCAAAAACTAGAAAATAAGTAAAAAATTGCAAGTTATGGGCAAAAACTCTTATAGGGAGTCATCCGATGGTTTCTAACATATGACATTTTTGTATAACTTTCATTTCTGATCCTTTTTACTGCTGTCAGACGCTACCCATCTGTTATAGTTTTAGTGATAATAGACAAAAACTAGTAAATAATTCCCGCAAACACGTTTAACCCCTTCACATTATACATGTGCCTGTCCAAAGTCAGAGGCATGTAGTTTAGTGTTTGTCGTTTGTTGCTGTATATCATATCTGTTTTTCGTTTTTTTTTTTTTTTTTTACATTAATTTGTTTGTATTGTTTTACATTTTGTCATGACAGACTGGGAATTGTTTTTGCTTATTATGTAGTATAGGTTTTTCTTATTGTCGAAGGCCGAACGGTGACCTTAAGCTGTCAAAATATAAGGAGTCATCTGAAAATTTTGTCGAAATTAGGGAGAAGCTAGATCTCGACTTTTTGAGCATTGTTGCCCTGTCAGATTGTCTCTTTCTATCGTGGTTATCAACATATTACACAGTAAATGCATTTAACCCTTATATTCTATCTGACTATGCTGTTTGATTGTCAGGAAGAAGAAAAAAAAACAATCGGTGATGGCGATATCTCACATGGACCTTTGGGGCAAGGTGAGCTAATCATGTGGACTACAAGTTCAGCTACCATATATTTTGAGGTAACACCAAATTCACCTGAATTCTTTTCATTTTCTTAGAAGTACAAAAGCAAGATTTTAGTGACATTAATAAACAAAAGTTAATTTTTTGACAAATTGCATTTTGTGGAAACTTCATCTCCTTTCAAAAGAACTGCACCCTGTGAAAATTATACAAACTGACAAACGAATAAAATTAAGGAATTGGCGTTGCTGGTATGCATGTCCGTTAAAATCAGCATGTTTTCCTTGTTCCTCCGGTAAAATCAGCTTATAAATTATATTGTCAAATGTCATTAAGTTTGTGTTTGTGACACTTAACAGATTGTATAAAGTAATTTATCCAACAGCACTGTTTTTTTTCTTGAAATCTAAAGTTATATACATTAAAATTACAATAAATATCACATAAAACTATATACATGTATATTAAACAGCTACAAATTTCAAAATTGCATTTAACATACATATAGTGACTAACATTACAGATATTGACTTATTTCTCCGAATTTTCTTAATTGTTATATTATATGTTATGATTTCTTGAAAACAAAACCTCGAATAAACGATTTCAGTTGACAGGACTTCAGTGTTTGGATTATCTCCCGTTACATAGTCATAAATGTACATGCGGGTCTGGATGGGGTTTACAGAATAGACAATAATGGGCAAAAAGTGCAGAATAAATGGCGAAAAAATAAAGAAGAGAAAAATAGGCCCAAAAAATAAAAGAATGGAGAATAATGAGGTGCTAAAATATAATGAATAGAGAATATTTGGCAAAATTTAAAAAGAATAGAGAAAAACGGCTTAACAAATTACATAACTGAAGGCCCCCATTCCAGACCCTCGTACATTGGCCGACACAATTTAAGAAAAAGAACGTACACACAATCAAAAAGATCACAATGGCATTAAATTGCAAAAATATTAGAAATGAAAACTATTTAAAACATAAAAGGTCAAATATTGGCCATATCTTATCTTGTCGAGTTTTTTCAAATGTTTATTCAGATCAATATTGGCAAGATTTTTTTTCGAATGAGCGAATGAATTTCTGTTACATTAGTCTATTTGCCCATTACCGATTTGGTTCTATAATTACACACTCTTTACACGAGTTGAATCGCTTTACCATTATAAACTGGTACATTAAATATGTTATGTCACATATTTTGGTAAAATTTTGCATAAAACTTTTGCAAGTTGAACTATTATAACTGAAAACCGAAAAAAAATTAATACAATTTCTGAAATATTATTGAATGAAATTATTCGAAATAGATGTACATTTGAATAGAAAGCAGATACATCGGCGAACAACGTTTATCAGCTGTTTACAGTATTTGACCAAAATCTGGGACAACCCATTTACTGTAAATTGACCTAAACCAGACAAACTGATTTGCTGCTCATCTAAAGCATAAGTTGTATGTGATTTATAAGCGTTCCAACAAATGTTTATTAAAAATAACTATCGATATCAAAAGTGCTTCGTAAATTTGCTTTTCCGGTAGCTCCTTGTTGATCCTCTGAAGGGCAATAACTCGTACAAATAGAATTATATTACAGGGTCAATTACGGAATGGGCAAAGAGACTTACTGAAACAAGTATTTGTATATAATTTGTAAAAACGATCCGATCATCTACCTAAACCTAAAATTAAAAAAAAAAACCATTAACCAAGCAAGAATGAAACATTCAGTTTTTGTTGTCACAAATGGAATTTGTTTGTTTGTTTTTCAAAGGATTTAAATTACAACACATGATGATTCTTGGAATGCAAAATCTCTGTTTCCGAATAAATTCCGAGTATATATTGAACACGTATCTAATCATTCGTAGTACTACCACATTACCCATCGCAGTTTTTCATTAAGATTTTCCTCCTCTAATTTAGTAGGAACCTCTAATATTGCACAAGTAACATTTGAAACATCTCCTGAAAAAAAAAATAATATCAAGACAATGTATTGCAACAAATCTTAGTGATACGTTTTTGTATCTGTACAGTGTTAGGTCAAAAATGTTTCACCTTTCCCAAATGCACGCATTATTTCAAATAAAAACACTTTTCTAAAACATGGTCTAAAACTAATTTGAGGTCCGATTTGGATGACCTTTTTTATATGTTAAACTGACCAATGTGTACAGTTTTTTCATAGTTATTTTGAAATATTTTAATGACATGTCATTACTGAGAAATCATTATTTGTATACAAATTTGAAATTAAGTGTAATTGTTTCCTATAAAGCCATATGTTTTTTGTGCAGAAATTCATACTTGTCTTTAAAAAAATCTTTATAAATCATAAATGAACTTAACAATTACTGCAAGAAACTGCAGACATTTCCTGTAACTAATGAGAAAAATAAATGGAAAATGTGTCCATGGGACACAGATGGTGCCCCCTTTGCATATCCCGTTATAAAGAGGCATAACTCGATTGACTGATTGATTGATTGAGGCAAACTAAAGTTAGAGAACTGAAACCAATTTTGGGACGTTCGGACGGACGGAGAAGAGTAATACCTCCAGTGACGGCGGGGGCATGAACATTCATTCAATTTGGATAGGAAATATTTTCAGTCGAATTTTTTTATTAGAAATGTGTTTTTATATGAAATAATAGGGGGACTTCGGATAGTGGAAACACTTTTGACCTAAGAAAGTAACTATATAGTTTTTATATTAAAAATATGTTCAGATGATCATTATTACTTACCTAAACATATGTATACAAAGTCATTGTAACATATTTTATATGACTTACAAAAAGGTATCCAACCAAAGATGATATGATATAAAGTTAACGATAATACTTTGTTTAAATTGATATTATTTGTACTTTCTTGTTATTAAACTTAACGATTCCTTTCCACAAAACTTTGTCATGATCAAGAAGTTTTAAAACTTTAAAACATTTCTTGAAAAATTGTACTAGTTCCGCAAAAAAACAGATTATGTATTCGTGTGCTGTGATGCGGAGCTGCGACGAAAAATAAGAAATAAATTGTGTGACCTGAATATACAAATATAACGTATAAGTTCGGTTAATTTTAGAATATCAAATGTCGTGAAAACATCATCCCAAACCCTAAATATATCACTTGTCAAACACAATAGCAAACAAAATCACCAAAGTATATGTTTAAGAACCAAAACCAAAATCACTCAAAATAAATATATAAAATAAAAGATTTACGGTATAATAAAAGATCAAAGAATTTCACATATAATACTTACCGTGATCTTAAAAAAAGAACAAGTATTGATTTATTGCAACAATGTAAACAATCTTATTTTTATATAGCTGAAGAATTTAAATATTTGTTTTCGTTATGCACACATCCGGGTAAACTTATCGATCCTTTAAATGAACTTGTTCTAATTACCAATTCAACACTATAATTATAGATTTTTGAATTTGGTTTTTATCGGTCTTAATATTGATTTTGTTATCAATAAATCAAAAACTAAATATTATAGCTATACACTACCATGTTCGTAAATTCACGGTCCTTCATTCTGTCGATACCTATGTTTTGGCATTGCACAAAGTAATGTTTTTCTCTGACTGTTAATGACATCTTTACATTTAATTCATTGGATATTGGGTGTTTACGGATCTACATTTAAATCTTATATAGTACATGATTTATTTTTATTACTGGTAATTTGCTTTGAACTAGCCTTCGGTAAATTCGAGTACACTCAGATCTATACTTTGTGTCTTTTGTTTATCTGTTATACCAGCCTGTAATTCAGTGGATGTCGTTTTTTGTTGTATATCATATTTGGTTTTTTTATTGCTTTGTACAAAAATCAGGCCGTTAGTTTTTTCGTTTGAATTAATTACATTTGTCATTTCGGGGCCTTTCATAGCTTGCTATGCCGTATGGGCTTTGCTCATTGTTGAAGTCCGTATGTAAACCTATAGTTGCTAACTTCTTCGTCATTTGGTCTCTGGTGGAGAGTTGTCTCATTACCATTCATATCATGCACATCTTTTTATAACAGAAGCATAACATTAAATATAATGTGAACAAAATTCACTTTATTCGAAATTTTTCTTTTTGTCAAAAGAAGCCTTTTTTTTTTAAGCATTTTTCGAAAAATACTAGAGGTTCTGCATGCAGCTTTCTAATTAGTAGCATTCACTCATAATATATATCTTTTAATCACCAGATAATGTCGAATAAAACCAAAGCACATGCATTATTGTCAGCTTAATATTAAAAGAAACTATACCTTTTCGAAATCTAAAGTCTTCTTGCCACTGACCTCGTGATATACTGTAGTATTCAACAATACGAACGGCCTGTCCTGTCTCCATTAATGAGCCTCCAAACACGTAGATTCTATCTCCTAAATTAAAGGCACAGTATTTAAGTTATATATTTTTACTATGTAGAGTAAACGATTTTTTTCATTCACCAAGTTAAAAATTAGAAGATTGTTAAAAACTTAATGGCAATTGAATATTAAATAGACTGAAAAATATTCAATTCCGCTTCGTTCGAACTCTTGGATAGTCGTGTCATTGGCAGTAATACCATATCGCCTTATTTTATATCTAAATATTTTTCAACAATTTTATATATTTCATGATTTTTTTTTATTTTGGATATGATTGGTGGTCTTGTACGTTTTGTTTTAATATATAAATACTAAAACATTTGTCTATCAAACTTGCAGTTTTCAGCTATTTTTAGGCAATTGTAACATGTTTAGAATTTAGCCATAGTACTTTAAGATAATCAAAGAACACACATGACGCTGTGATATTTTAATTGTGAATAAAGATCGAAAGTATTTTTGAAAATACATTTTAGTGATTTGTTGGTTACCTTTCCTAAATAGTGTAATCCAATTCATAAGATGAGTATAAAAATGACAGTAGAAGAATAGAAATTAAAGCTCAGTATAACAAATTAGACAACACCAGAAAATAATCATATGAGCTTCATTTAATGATTACAGCAAAAGCTATCTGTGGGTGATACTGTAGTAAAAAAGTAGAAATTTGCATAGGAGCACATTTAGATAGTTAAGACATTATACGAAAAAATTATAGCAAACATGGAGAAAAGGTAATAAAAACGTCCAGCTGAGCATCTGAGCCCAAGCTATGGTAAGCATATGAATAATGGAAATTTACAAATTGGTCATCATTCAACTATGGCTTATGCAAATTTAACATGGAGCACATTTCCTAAAAACTTGAAAATAAAAAACTTGTATACAATGGATTAAAGTTGCAGTATCGAAAACTAAATCTTCTAACAGATATATTACGGAAAAATACAATTTATAAAGTGTTATCTTCACACAGTTTTATTTTTGTTTATTATTATTCAAAGAACAATAAATTTTATTTCGGGGTCGGCTTTAATGTCAAGTTGAATGTTAAAATTGTCGAAAAATTATCTGTTTTTTTTATTCAACAGTAAAAAGAGTTATATTTTTTCTACATGTTCATCACAGAACAAAATAAATGAAATAGTATAAAATAAAAAACGAACTCCCATCTAGGGCAGCTCACATATTTTCTGACAAAATTTGCGATCTATGTTGTTTTGATAACAAAAATTTAAAGCCTCTCGTTTTTAATGGTTGGAGCTTCAGACAAGTTTCAACCATTTCCAAACACTTCCAAACTAAGCCACTTTAATTAAACAAAAATTACATTTCCTTAGTGATTCAAAATATTCCCATCTCTCGGATGATCAATGGCTATCACTGATGATAAATCAAACTCTAAAGCAGGGGAGACGTTGCTTTGATAAAGTCAGGGTAACGTAACAGAGACGACGTTGCCATTGTTTCGGAGTTCGTAATTATTTGTATTACCGTAATGTTTCTTCATTTCGAAAGAAATCCACTGGACGTTAAGCAACCAACAATCAATCAATTAATGGAAAGAAAGCTGAGACTGGTTAGAGTAAATTAAATGGTAACAATTCTCACCTACTACTATAGCACCAGCGCTGTGTCTTCCATAGGTCATTGCTGGTAACTGGTTATGCCAAGGAGAAATCATTTCACCAACAATATCGGTCCCATGTTCTGTCCTACTTAAAGCAGACACACTTGTAGTGTATGAATGCATCCTCCTCTCTGTCATGAATCTATATTTACCGCTTGCTTTCTCCATTTTTGACGATACTCCTGTAAAATAATACATGTTTCGTGTTCAGATACTCGTATGCTTTAGCTCGTGTGCACCTCTTGTTAGACATCTATATTTAACCATCATATCTGACCATTCAAAATTGCCATTCACAATAAATGGAGATATGTTTTTAATTGAAAAACAAAACATGAATTGAATTCTTATAATTGTTAACTTCAGTTATTTTTAAAGAAATGTTTCACTCCCTAGGTTAAAAAGTAAAAGTGATCAAATCCTACTGGAAATTGAATGTTAGTGGGTCTATATCAAAATACTTGAAATGCTGTTTCAAAATTTTACATATTTGTCATGAAATCGAAAAGTTATTCGGCACCACATGTTTTTGTTAAAGGGATTTTGATACACAATTGCACGTTTTTTTTTATATATATTTTTGTCAAATGTTGCATCGAAGGACATCGCTTACCAAAATGAATTTATGTGTATTTATAAAGACAATACATACCTTCACTTCCAACATAAATTTGGTTCTGCTTAACGAAGTCCTTCTTATACATTTTGGGAAAAAGTACAAACAGTTGCGGAGTAGGGTTATCTTCGGGCGTTTATAATTCGATGATCTATTTATAACTAAGCTAAAATATTGTTAGAACACACATTTGACTGTGATACTATGAATTTACATGTAGGTAAAGATTGAAAGACTTTAAAGTGTTCCATAGAAAATAGTAAAAATCTAATATGAATTTTTAAACATTCATTTCATTAAATTTCATATATAATGTGCAACACTTTTTGGACCAATAGCGCATTTTCCAATTACAACCTTTGCTTCAGATTTTAGATTTATTTGCTAGGAAAACAACACATGTGTAGGATAACTGTATCTGTGTGATTGCGCAAAGAAAATTTAGAAAAGGTTAGGTATATCAAAACCATTTAACTGTGAACCAGGCCATTTCCATAAGGTTTTTATAAATTATTAATACAGGTGTTGCTTCCATTTGATTTTTTTTTTCTTCTAAAATTCAAATAATAAAAATTGATAATTCGACTTTTGGAAATATAAGTGTTTGATATGTATGCTTCTTAAATGGGTTCGATGGTCTGTTCGGGGCAAATTAGGACGAAAGACCCGTATGTTGAGAGTATATTACATAAGATATTATATATTCTTTTCTTTTTCCGAAACTTTCTCAGGGAAAGGACATTTGGCTGTTAATAGAATCCAACATCTTTAGCTAAGGCGTCATATATTTGTAGTATTTTAAATCTTTGTTCAACGAAGTTCAACCTTTTTAATTGATAAGTGTTTGTTAAAGGTAATGAAAACAGAATTTTTTTCCAATACAGGCAATTGTATATGAAAATTAATTTCTAAAAGAAGCTTAGTTAACTTTTGTTTCCCTGTTACCTCCAATTAAAAAATTCTTTATTTTATTGGATACATTATACACAACCAAAGCAATGTTGAAATATCTTTTCACTTATTATACCAATCTCATGATTGAAAATATTTCAAATTTACGGATTTCCCTATCAATATCAGTTCATTCATTCTCTTTTCATTGAAGTCTAGTGAGATTTGTGATGTCATAATAAATAAACAGCTGCGCCACGAGCGCATGATACGCCCGTCGTCTTGTGTGTGAGGTTTTATGCAATAATTATAAATCGTTTCTGAGATATGGCGCGACATGTGACCCCCCCCCCCTTTTTTTACAAAAAGCTCAATAACTTTTAAAATAAAATTTTGAATCATCACCAAAAAGTATACAGATCTTTAGATTAATATAACTAAGAAGTGTGTTAAGTTTTAAGCAATAATCATAAATCGTTTTTGAGATACGGCGCGACATGTGAAAAAAAACACCCCGCTGTTTTAGTTACAAAGTCCCGTAATCCAAAAAGTTTTAATCTTATTTTCATAAAAAAGTATACAGATCGTTTGACCATCATAAGAAACAACTATGTTAAGTTTCATGAAATTTGGATAAGTCGTTCTCAAGTTACGGTGCGACATGTGGACGCCGAACAGACGGACGCCGGACATTTGTATATATACCATAATACGTCCCGTCAAAATTTTGACGGACGCATAAAACTATCAGAACTGGTCTCTTTTTCACCGGCGGACGTCATAGCTAATACGTTTCTCCGTTGAGAAACAGTTTTTCTCTTATTCTTGCCCGATTTGTCCTTTTCCGGACCTGTTGATTATTTTTATTTAATCAACGTGTGGTTTGTTTGGTCTCAGTTCTTCATTGTTTACATATCGATTATGACGTCTTGCTTTCCTCTAAAATTCTTATTGTGACGTCATGAAAAATGGCGACCATGCCGGATGACGTCACATAGAAAGAACACATATTTTTGCAGATCATTCGAAAAGAAGGATGAACTTTGGTCTGCATATCGTCTAAAAATCATTAGAGAAACAGATTCCGCCACCAAATTACGTGCAATACAATATTTATCCGCTCTCGACAGTTAAACTCTAAATATTTAAAACGCTCGGCGAGCCTCGCGTTTTAAATTTGAAAATTTAACTGTCTTGAGTGGATAAATATCGTATCATACTTGATGCAGTGGTAGAATCTATTTACATTTTTTTTTTCATTGTAATTTGACATCTGAACAATAAGAAAATAAACTATTATAATTATCTGAACGTTTTTAGTTAACAAAGCTTGTTGATATTCTCCTGTATTTTTAAGCTGTGTTATTCCTTAAGCAGTTGATTACTGTTGTTGTAGGTATTATCAATGTGCATTTTAACATAAGCGTGTATATTTAGTTTTGTTCCTAATGGTATGAAAGGTTTTTTTTATAACAGATACCCATTTTGTAATGTACAAATCAGATGTAAGGCGTGGACAAGGAATAAGCACTGTAGATTGTGAATGTTTAAAATAATTGATTGTTGTTTGCTGAATTCCATATTGCAATTATTCTATGTATGTTAACTGGCATTGCAAAAAATTATTTGAATAAGATAATACTGGAATTTCTTCAATTATGTATGCCTTTTAACGGGCTCTGACTAGTTTCCGATTAACCACATGTTAATTAAATGAGAAGAGACAACAAGGAAATGTGGAAGAAACATCCTTTAAATCATAATGTTTTTTCATCTTCGTGATATATGCCAGTGTCTTATTCGTTAGTATTCCTTGGTTTTGTACATTTTCCTTCATTATTAGCATATTTGGTGTAGTTTTCAAAAACCGATCTTCTTGATCAAAAATGGGCATTGATGCCCTTCACATTTGTCCTGTATAATTTTCAAACATAATTATCCATTGCACGCGGCATTTTACATTAAATCATAACAGAAACATAGTCTTCCAGTGTATCCCGTTTACAACAATATTAATTTTTTTTGGTAGTAAAATTTTTTAATTTTCAAACTCTCAGCAAGCCGCGCATTGAAAAGTTTAATATAAAATATCATTTTCAAATGCTGCGTGTAGTATAAACTATTTCTATCTATTTTATTTTGATATTCATTTATCTATCTGCCATATAATATTTTGATCAATTAAATAGCACTAGACTAAATTCATGAATAATGCATCATGCTAACTGTAATCTGATTCATGTTAACATTTTTTTTTACCGATTATGGAGACATTTTCTAGAAATAGATATTTTGCAATGGCCAACACATGGTTACGTTTAATAAACAAAAGAGAATGATTTTGCACTAGAATAAAGTTACCTTGATCAAGTAAACAGATATAAGAAAATAATGAAATATTTCCCTTTCGTTATGTTGTTGATCACTTGTAACCGTACACGAAGTCGACAACAACACGTAATTTTACTAGATGTTTTTGATCTGTAGGTAAGGAACAAATTGTCGGATACTATGCTAAGGCCAGCAGTTTACCATTAAAAAAGTCCGCTTCCTCAACCAAAACAAAAACTAGAAGGGAAAAGTATGAACATAAATTTACTCGAGTCTGTTAAATGTCGCAGTTGAATTAGAGTTATGTCATTATTTGAACGGGAAATGAAATTAAACATTTATGGAGATAATATAATAAAAGTTCCCATATCAATTTAGGTCTTGCATGTACGCGTTCAAATAAGGTGCTAAAATTGCAAGATAATTACATTTATTTCCATGGCATAAAAATACAAATAACACTATTTTCTTACTGTTAATATATAGAATACCAGTCAACAAGAAAGTCGACAATTGTTTTGAAATAATTTATACGTGAGAGTGGCGGTAGCTTTTTCTTATTCGTATCGGTACTTATACATCCTTTGGCTTCCCATTCTGAAATAAATGTATAGATCACATGGAACAGGTCTTTTCCGGCAGTGTAATTTTACTAAATTTTCTGACTGGCATATAATTTACATGAATTATGTATGTATTAAATGGCAAAAATTAATCTGTTGGATAAATATAGATTCTACCACTGCATCGAGTGGGATACGATATTTCTCTACTATGCTTCACAGATGACGACGGATATGTTCAAATCGTCGTAACCACAATCCCGTCCTCCTTTCCCCCGAATGTGACCTACCAAATTAGACTTATCACCGGGTTTGCACTTACATGAGCAACACGACGGGTGTCACATATGCAGCAGGATCTGCTTACCCTTCCGGAACACATGAAATCACCCCCGGTTTTTGGTGGGGTTCGTGTTGCTCATTTTTTAGATTTCTATATTGGGTTTTGTTTACTGTTGTTTGTCTTTTGGTCTTTTTCATTTTTTTTCCAATGGCGTTGTCAGTTTGTTTTCGAATTATGAGTTTGAATGTCCCTTTGATGTCTTTCACCTCTCCAATTCGAGACAGCTTACTTTTTCATATCTATTCCGCGAGGCTTGTCGGGCTTTATAAATATTCAAATTTAACTGTTGAGAGCGGAGAAATATAGTTTTGCACGGGATTCCTTGGTGGAATCTGATTTTCTTATGATTACTTATAGACCACATTAAAGCAGACTTTATCTATTTAATTAAAGATCTCCAACAAGATCTGTTATTTATATGCGACGTCATCAGGAATGGTCGCCTGTTTTCGTGACGTAACAATGGGAAATCAAGAGAAAAGCAAGAAAACTTGACGTCATAATTGAATTTTGACCAATGAATAAATGAGATCAAACGAACCACACGTTAGTTATAAACAAATAATCAGCAGGTCGGGAAAGTTTAAATCGGGTAAGAATTAGAGAAACATTTTTCTTTATTCCAAGCCGATGAATACTTCCCCGACTGGTTGTCAAAAATTCAAAATTGACGTCAAATGTTCATGTTTTGGGGTTTGTCGGGCTATTGGTGCGTCACGAAAAGGGATGATCATGTCTATAATGACGTCATATAAAAAAAACCCTCTTTTTGCAGATCTTTGACAACGAAAAATAAACTGCCTACACATATCGCCTAAAAATCTTCAGAGAAATTAACACCGCATTTTTGCGCCTGTCCCGAGTTAGGAACCTCTAACCTTTGTTAGTCTTGTGTGTTGTTTTTTTTTTTATTTTAGGTACGCGATTTTTTCGCTGTGTTATAGACCCATTGATGTTCTTCGGCTGTTTTTTGCTCTTTGGTCGGGGTGTTGTCTCTTTGACACATTCCCCGATTCCATTCTCCATTCTATCCTCCATGGAATCTCGTGCAATACGATACTTCTCCAAATTAGACTTTCAAATACTATTCAAATTAAATTGTCTCAAGTGGAGAAATAAGACTCGACGCAATCGAAGAATCTATATTTAACAAAACAAAAATAATTTGGACATTTGAAATGATTTTGAACTAACTTACCTCCAATAAAATACAGATTTCGTCCATGGGAAACAAAACAAAATCTATCTAAGCTATGGGGTAATCTTTGAGGATAATCACGATCTAACTCTTTCCATTTATTCTTTTCAAAAACCCTATAATAAGATAAAAATTCAGATTTAATAATCAGATACATGAGGGTAGGAATTGGGTACTCAACATGACGAATGACGGTAAAATATTTTACCCCATTTGATGCTAACGGTAGCTACAAAATGAAATTTGACGAATGACGATAAAAAATTAAGGCTCATTAAATGACGCTAACGGTAGCGAAAAACGGACGTTTGACGCTTGACGATAAAGGGCATACCTACCCTCATACAGAAATTCTTGCTCGCACGAAGTTTCGCCATTCCAGGTTTTGTTCCTGTGTCGTGTAAGCCTTTCCGAACCACGTGTTTTTTTTTTTATGGCTTTGGGTTTTTTTTCTTAGATCAAGTGGGCGCTGTAGTAGGTGTGGTCTGATTTTCGTGTACTACTGTTTTTGATGATTACCAATGTCTTTTTTGTGCAATATTTGTAAAACATATAGATAGAAAACTCATTTTGTCAGAAAACATTGTTACAAACCAAAAGTACACAAAAAGATGTTATAATGCAGGAGTTTTTAATTAAGAACTTATTAATATAGTTCAATTCGGTGGACAGATTTTTAAACACACGATTGGCATTCCAATGGGCAACAAGTCTTACGGAATTATTTCATAATTTGTGTGCAGCAGAATTCATCCAGGGGTTGTTTCAATTAAACTTATATTTGCCAAGTCATTTATTATTTTTTATAAAAAAAAAATAATTTACATCTCATCATTCCCAGTAAGCCTAACATCTATCAATTAACCTAAAAAATATGTGAAACTACGCGGGATATTGGAACGCAGTTCGTTTATATTACTGGGCAGTACAACGAGCTTAAACTATGAAAGTGTTTCTAATTTCTGGTTTTATTTCATACAATTTGTTAGTAGAACTTCAAGGTTAAATCCAATTAGTTTTACATTATATTTAAAAAGTATTCTCTATGTACACAGTAGACAATGGATCGTGCAATTAAGGTTGGGTTTTTTTTTTTTTGGCATCCAGAATTTTTAAACACGATGAAGTAAATATTACTACGCAACAACTGTTACAATGTATGTGTCCTATTAAATCTTTGTTGTAGCCAATTGCTTTAAATGTTGTGCAATATAAATTTAATCTGCATTTCAAAATGTAAAAATTATATATAAACAGTACAAAAAATGCACATGTGCATCCAACATATGCATACAAGATTTCTAATTACAATTGTATGAATTTCAGGATTATCCGAGGATGTTTCAGGGTGTATAAACAATAAATATTATTACATGTAGAATGAAAGCAGATATACTGATTCAGATTCTAAAGTATTGGAAGACCTAATTTGCAATCCTTTTTATTTCATTAAAAAGTTATTTTACGTTCAATTACTTTTGTCACATTTGATTTTGACAAATGAATATTTGCCCTAATAAAGAGACTTTTCACTTTATGATGAATTGCTATAGTTATGAACAATAATAAACATGATTTTCTCATAAATTTCTTTGAACATTGCTGATATGAATTTGGTGTTCATCAGAGAGTGCCACTAAATTGTATTTATGCCGATTTTTCCGAAGATTAAATAGAATCATCAAATATATGTACTAATTCGGAATTTTCATTACATAGTTGTAAATTCTATTTTTGTTGATTGTATCCAAGATTAAAAGAACTCTGTGAATTTTAATGAAGGATCTCTATACAACTTAGCAATGCCATCCCTAAAATCAATACTTTTTTTATATTTGAAATCACATCAATTCCGTAATCGATGGATATTATACAAATGCGAATGAATAACTTCCGATTTCTACCATTTTATGTCTTTAAAGTGAAAATTAATCCGCAATTTGGAAGGTAATGAAGTTTATATGATGAGGACAGTACAATACCTTAGCAATAGTTCGGTACAAATCGTGGTGTTTTAACTAGTCAATTCCACTGAGAACTTCTTGTAATTGTGTAATAATTACGACGTTTCTATATTTCCCACTGGTTTGTCACGTAAACGGAAAATGTAGATACAAATACAAACAGGTGAACCAGTTCGAAAGCATTGTTTGGCAACCAATAACAACCCTGACATTCTAACCTTTATTTTAATTCTTACTATATAGAAAGCTAAAAGTCTCCCAATAAGTAAAACATTTTTACACACAAACGTAGACAGATACATCACTATAAAAATTAATACAGAAGGTAGTCGAAGGAAAAATTACAACTTTAATGACCCAAATAGATTTCTAGCATAGGTGAGATCTGTAAAAAAACTGAACGCTTAAATAAGAAATACTGGTGCAAGATAAACCAATATCGAGTTTGACTCATGAACATACGAAATTAAATTAGGACCAACAAGCTGTAGTCTCCAAAAATAACGACTTTTGTTTTTTTGCGCTTGAAAGTAAATTTGTTTTCGTCCTGAACATACTTGACATATTTGCCCCCGGACGCTAAGCAATCAACACCAAATCAAGCAATATAACGGTCTCTGCATCTATATATAATCTTTCCAGTGTAAATGAAGAAAACAAATCTACAAATAAGATACACTGGAAGTAACCCACATGACACTTTAAATAGCTACTTGCACCCGGAATTCATTTTTCCCCGATAACAGAATAACAGAATTCAATTTTATACCACATTTAGGGTAGAGTGACATAACGATCGATTTGATCCGTAAAACGGTTAAGCGACACTATTAACTAGGTCGCCTCATTTAGTATTATAGATTGTTGGGGTTTCCCAAATCAAAACATAGACTTTGCTGTATCTACAAGAGGGATAGACTTCTTGTCACGACTTGCAATTCCTCTAAAAGAAATAACCTAATTTCAATGAAACTTTCTATAAATCTTTTGTATCTAATGGCATCATGCATCTCCTATTTATTCTATGTTTTGTTACAACTGAATTATAGAGTTTTTTTTATATCAAAACATTGTCTTTGCAATATCTACATTTGTTCAAAACGAGTAAGCTTTTTAAATTTGAAAAAGCCCTAATTTACTGATCTAATTTCAAATGAAGATTTACGTAATCTTTAAAAGCTAATGGCATTTTGCATCTCCTATCATAATTTTTTATCATATAAAAAAAAGAAGATGTGGTATAATTGCCAATGAGACATCACTCCACCAGAGAGCAAACGACATAGAATTTAACAACTATAGGTCACAATACTGCCTTCAACAATGAGCAAAACCCATACGGCATAGTCAGCTATAAAAGGCCCCGAAATGACAAATGTAAAACAATTCAAACGAGAAAACTGACGGCCTGTTTTATGTACAAAACAATGAACGAAAAACAAATATGATATACAGCAACAAACGACAACCACTGAATTACAGGGTCCTGACTTGGGACAGGCAAACACGAGTGTGGCGGGACTAAACATGTTTGCGGGCGCCCAACCCTTCCCTAACCTAAACTGGAATGGTAGGATTCAATTACAGCCAAATTTCTTTACTACATATACACATATAAACAGCAAAATCTTCAAAAAATCTCTTATGGCAGGTTTAATATCAATATGTTCTATTTTAGCAGCAGTGGCGCCACGTTTGTTGGTCGATTGGACCATCGAACTTACATATTTTGCAAGTTTGAACTGAACACCTAAAATGATGATTTAGGGTAATGATAGGATTTTTGTGAATTTTTACAAACGGACAACTTACATTGCCGTTTTGTGCACAGAAAGTCAAAAATGTGGATTCTTTACCAAGACTTTTTTGCAGCTGTTGTAACCAAAATTTAGTAATTGAATGATGCTTTTTTAGATTTTAAAACCGAACAGAACTACAAGGTTTATCCCGCATCAAAACGGAATTGTTCTCCCCTGTAAACATATTTATATTTTAGCAAATAGCTACAACCAGCACCTTTGCTATTGATCTGTTTCTTGTCTACCTGAAAGTTAAAAGTACTGACAGCATTTTACCACCTGTAATACACTATTATAGATCTATGCTATGGTTATGATTTTGATTTTTTTTTCATTTTTATAATTATAGATGAATTCAACTGTTGTAGATTACAAAATGCACATACATGGTACGAAACGAATCGCGCTTCAGAAAAAGAAGTACGGTTTTACATCTAAATAATTAAACAGCACATACAATTAAAAAACAAACTTTGCATTTGACATTGAAAATGAAAAAAAAAACAGTAATTTTACTTTGCTCTATATAAATACTCGATTAAGAAACTTAACTTAAAACGGTAAACAGGATGACGAACTTTGGAATGGAATTACAAAATAAAAATTACAAAAATAACCGCTGTGCGGAATGGATACGGATGATTAGTTTGTCACCAACTTCAATAAATGTTATTCTAAGTTTACGGAAACTCCTCGTGGAACTGTAACCAACTATACAATATGATAAATGAAATGAAGTGTTATTGACTAACGAGGTTTAATATGTTAGTGATCGTACGTTGTGAAGTTATTTTTCCTAAGACCAATTGAAAATACTGTTGTCTAAGCACTGGTATTGATTGAATATTGAAAATATGTTTATGTCACTCACAATTGGGATTTGACGTGGAAAATACCGTTCTCAATATTAATATTTTTCTGAACTTGTTAAGTATGATTGAAATAAATAAAAAAGTGGAAAATGATGGATATTTTTGCATCAGATTAAAAATAAACTCAATAACTGGTATCAATCTAAGTGTTAAGTCATATATATTATTGGAAAAATTTCAACTTTTAATGATTATTCATAAAATGGATTAGCACTTGTGGTATAGTATCCAAGTGATTTCTGAGTGACAGGACAATATAAAAAGACAATGTTTCATGCTGAGTACAAATGTACACGAAGAACCAATTAAAATTACGGTAAATCGAAATTGAAAAAAAATATTGCTACGAACGATGAAAATAGGGATTATACATTACGGTTTCATTTACTTCAAAGTCTGATACAAAGGAAATAAATCTAAATAAAATAAGTTAAAACTATAAAAGACAATGCAAACTGTACAACTTTTTGTTTGAGAAAGATAATTTCTTGCATACAAATGTGTTTGGAGGACTAAACTAGAAAAACCATACTGGGAATGATTGGTTATCTGTGACTATACCTGCATAGACAAACAAGTACGTATCTGTGTATTTGAACCACTTTCTGTTATTGTACATAATGATATAACCAATGAAGTTTAACTATTTATTTTAATAAGATATTGCACTTAATTTTGCTTTTATGAATTTTTAATAATTATGCTTTAAAATTGGTGAGACGACGGATAAAGTCTAAAATTCCACCAGTCTACTTTTTCTCATCAACGTTAGCAACATTTTCTAACTTATAGATCTCGTCTGAAATTTAGCCCAACAATGTTATATAGATCTGCAAATTTGAGTTAGCAAATCTTTGTTAATTCAGCCCAACAATTTTAAATTATATAGAACTGCAATTTTGCGTTAGCAAATCTTTGTTCTTTCCTCAGCGGTATTCGAACCCTTGCTCCTGTAACATCACCACTTCCAGCGACTTAACCACTCGGCCAACTAGGCTATAAAACAATAGCTTCTGTTAGTCGAGTAATGCCTTTACTTGTCGGCTTTATCTAGGGTTTATATATAATATATGTATGTAATAAAATTAATATTGATGTGACTGCATGGTAAGTATAATTATCATCATTTACGACATTCTAGACGTTCCAGAGATGTTTACTTCTTTAATTGATCCTATTATTCTCGAAAATAAAGTCGGTGACCTATTATAATACTTTTCTTAATGATTTTGGTTTCCTATTTCTTTTTGTTCGATACATACATTTAGAAAAGATCGACAATGTTGAGAGTAAATATTCTTAAAACTGGTTGTTACAGCTATAAACATAAAACTTCCACTTAAGGGTCAACAAAAACCTTTGATAATACAAGTAGTCATGTTTACAGTAACAAGTCATTGTAGTAGCCAATCTTGGTATTCATTAGGAAAACAGCATTTTTTAATGTACCCTTTCAATATTTTCCTTCAAATTTTACTATATTTCAACAATGACATTATGGGATTCTGTGGCGTAAACTATTTGTAAAATAACATTCGTTCGTATATTCAGAAAGTAGAAGACCTGGATGCTTTATACCTTGTAAAATGTTACGAGGTTCCTGTCTGTCATGTGTCCATTGTCCTTGAATTCATTTTCATGGTTAATCGACTGTTAGTTTTTTTTTTAGGTTTTTGGGGGGTTCAAATGAATTTCTCGCTTATGGTTTTTTTTTTTTTTTTATCTTTATTTTCTTTTGTCTACAACACCCGGTATTCCCAGGCGGTCACCCATCCAAGTACTAACCGAGCTCGACGTTGCTTAACTTCGGTTTCTCGCTTATGGTGAGTAATAGGATAACTGTATTTGGTATATGAGATCCTTGCAAGGTCTCCATGTCCGTCAGACCGGTTTCAACATGTAGACCTCAACCTCATTTGGTGGATCAGTGATCACTGTTAAGTTTTCGTGGTCAAGTACATATCTCTTATACTATAATCAATAGGTCAACTACGGTTGGTGTTTGAAATTACTGTAAGGTGTACACGTTTTATATGACCTTGTTCTCATAATCATAGTTCGTTGGCTAAAGCTAGAATGTCATACCAAGGTATGTTTCTCAGATAATTTAAGCAATTAATCATTTTATTGTAGTAAAACATTGATCTTCAAGATGTCTTAAAATAAATGCAACCATAATGGTTCAGTGATGAATCTCAGCAGGCGAGATATTTCAACGTCTGCTCTTTTGTTTTACTTTTTAATTCCTTTTTAACCTCAATTTTCTCAAAAGCAAAAGTTGGAAGTTTTGATTAATAGTGGATATTATCGGTAGCATTATATTATGAAATATTAATGTGGGATAAAAGTGAAGGATATGCCCGTGAAAGGATGATTTGTTTTCTTCAAAGCTTTTAGATAACGTCTACCATAAACATAAGATCTTGAAATTAAATAGAGTTCAAGTTCCAAATGGAAAAGTATTGAACTATTTATAATATGAATATGAATACTGTTTAAAAAAGTGCAACTATATATATCATGTATATTGTGTCTTCAAGCTTAAATTTCCTTTATGTATATTGTTACCATGGTTACTGGTCTTTGACTTAAGCTTTGAAACTAAATTGGATTGAAAACTCTCTGTAACAAATCTTTGGATTAATCATTTGAAAATAGACTGAATATCTCGTAGTTCGTTTGGTGACCTTGACGTTTGACCTCTGACCTTTAATTTGATTCACACCAGTATGACCAAGCGTTGGTAGATGTCTGATGAACATCACTTGGAAGTTTTAAACTTCCTGCACTTTAAATAATTCATCATGTACTTTAATATGAATTATAAATTTAGATTTCGTGTGGTAAAGAGAAACGTGAAAAGCTACTGTAAACATATAACCACACTGGTCAAACAGCTTCTTCAGTCACCTTTTGTAACCTGTTTCGTACTTAATTGTCTATAATAACAATAGGTTATAAAAACATGTTATATTGATTCCATGGCCATTTTGAAAAATAAAAGAGAATTTAATTTAACTTCATTGTTCTTTTAAGACGATTAGATAAATATACTGTTATTTATATAGGTCATGACGTTTGATCTCTGTCTTTGAAATAAAATAGAAAAAGCAACTACTCTTAACCCTCGTTTGCCAATTTCACTATAATTAACAAACATTGTCAGTTGAGAATTTGGATTTTAATCGAGAATCAATTAATAACGAAAACAATCTGTAGGCTACATTCTAAATATGTATCGATTATTACACATTTTATTTGTAATAATAAAATATTGACGACTAAATGTTCCTAAATTCCCTGAATGTGTAAAGAACTTGCATGTACTATCTTTTTCTTGACAGGTAGGAGTTTGTAAGTTTAGCAATTGAATTTATTAGAATTATTCATCTTTTAGTATTAGCTACTCACCAGAAACTTTTGTGGCATTTCCCTCCATAGCACCCACCAGCGCAATAAATTTCGTTTTGATATACAACACTACACAGATTAGAACGTGGTGATATTAGTTTCGGTCCTTCTTCCCATAAATCCTCTTCCGGTTTGTAAATTTCACTTGAAGACAAAACTTTCCCATCATCCCCTTCACCACCTGCATACAAACAATAACAATAAACCTAAATACATGTATATCAAACAAATAACTCTTACAAACACAATCTAAACACATGTACCAAATAAAATATATATTATATGTTTTCTTTAAGAATGAAAGCATATGTGTTTTTGGTTTGTTAGACTTCATAGAGTATCAATAGTCTATTTTAATTAAAACCTTACGAAAATCAGAAGAAATAAACATTTGGGGGTTTTGTTCACGAAATCAAAAACTATATGTGTTATCTTTTTTCTCCTTTATACATAATATCCAAAAGAAAATATGACGATAAACTTCGTCTCTGGACTTCTACGAAAAATTGAAAATTGTTGTAACTCCCCTGAACAAGCTTGAATTTGTAATTTTTTGCAGTTCCTTAATTTAAAGTTATTTGGGTGTTTTCTTCTTTGGTTGCATTTACAAACTTTTCGTCACGTGTTGATTTAATGGGCGTTTTGAAGGCACGTGTCATATACACTGATATCGGTGTCATACATTCAATCAAAACAATGAAAAAACCTCGAAATGTAAATTCTAAAAGAATGCATATACATTTAATAACTGTACACCATAAGTACAAAATAATTACCAATAACAAATATTTTGTTTTCAAATACTGAAACTGTAAACTTTTGTCTAGCTGCAACAAGCGGTGTTCGATCTACCCACACTCCCGATAACGGGTCATACCTGCAAAACATTGTACACTTAAATATGCTTAAACTTTTAAATTACTTTGTAACAGCAATTTCTATTCATCACAATTTAAGCACCATGAAAATTAAAACACTTCGTTACTGACCAATCGGATGCCTGATGCATCCGTTTTTCTTTCAAAATTCTTTCCCAAAAAATAAGTTTAAATTAGACCAATGGAAGCACAACTTGGTTGTTTTACTTACCAATGAAAACCATTGAACGTAATGTGGGAATATTTTCAAAGTTATTTCTAATGTTGCATGCAATAACTGTTATCGAAGTTATTGATTCAGAAGTGTTTATCATTTTAATGTTGAATTGTTATTTTAGTATCGATAGCAAAGTTTGAAGAGATTTTTGATTTTGAATATAGTTCAAAGGTGTAACAGATTTCTAATTATTGTTTTTATAAGTTTGCCCATGGGTTATTGTTTTAATTCAAACAAAACTCTATCATTGTAATTAGTGACGGAAATCGTTGAACATGACTTTGTGTAAGATCATTTACCAAGGTAATGCAGACAGTAATTAAATATGGTAGTTTTAATCAATTTAATGTAGAATTGTCTAATTTCCAGTATCGATAGTTCCGTTTGAGTACAGTCTTGTGTCTAAATAAAGTTCAAATGCATGTACACTGGACGTAAAGCAAATATCAATTAATATAATGCATGTGTAAATGTTTCTTATTAGTTTCATTTATTTAGTAAGGTCACCAAAGGACCAATGGAAACTATTATTTGGTGCCTGCTGTTGGCAGTCTACTTTCACTTTCTTAACCAATGCACTTTGACTTTGGCCAGGGTATCAAATATATAGTTATTACAAGACGTTAACTTCAGAACTAGAAAAAAAGGGGAAAAAGTAATCATCATGAACATTTATACATGTATGCAGGATTCTATTCCACGTAAATAAGTATTAACAAAAATACCGAACCCCAAAAGGGTGAAGGAAGTCCATAAAAACTGACAAAATCAAACGTTCGACTATATAAACCGACGGAACGAAATAAATGGAAAGCAACTGTCATATTCCTGACTTGGTACAGGCATTTTTTGACGTAAATGGTGGTTAAACCTGATTTACAGCTAGTTAAACCTTTAAATCATTTTATAGATGTAAATACTAATGTTATTATAGAGGCATCATATAAATGCTCACTCTTGATCAAAATTATTTTCCGGGGAAAAGGACACACAGAAAGTTACAAGTACTGTCCAATCACAAACATAGTAAAGATAATTTGGATTAGTCAAATTACGAAATCTAGTATGGAATGCCTTTTTATGAAATACATCGTCAGAACGTTATCAACGATCAGTTGTGCTTACACTACTTGATATCATATGGTGTATAGCATAATATAAGCAGGACTGACCGTACGTACCAATAATCTACAATTTTATACTTCGGAGGTTTTTCAAATTTTCAATATTTCAACTTTCGGACGATGTCTTTAGAGCAACAAAGAAAATCTTTACTTAACTTAATTTGATAAACTTGACATAATCACATCAAATTTGGTGATAGGGCCAATAGGTCAAAGGTCAAGGTCGCATCAGATATTATTGATAGATGATAAATAAATCAACAAATAAAGGAAAACCATTGATTTAAAAGAAATCAGATTATAACAAACAGTTTGTATCCATCTAAATAAATGATAAATGAATGTTGAAATTGTTGGATCATGCGATATATCTTTAATATTCTTGTTTCACTGTTCCGTGTAATAGAATGCATACATTAACGTGTGAAGTGATTACGAAAGCTCGTAAAAACAAACCAGATAATTTGTATTTCAGTCACTGAACATTTCACTGACATTTAGAATATTTCCTCGGTACAAGTAAACACATTTTGTCAATTTGGATTCGTAATCAAATGAGTACATTTTGTTTTAACCATGGTAGAAGAGAAATAAAAAAAAAAATTAAATACAAAATTAAAACAAAAGATATTGCATCGTTTTGTAATTAAAGTTATCAAGGTTTCAATTGCATAATAAAACCAGGAAATAAAATAACTGAGAAAGGTTATAAATCAATGACCTCAAAATAATGGGAATAAATAGGAAATTTTCAATCTTTGTTTAAATTTTCATTTGATTATTTCATTTCTTTAAATCTTTAAATATTTTCTATCCTTCTAAATATTAAAAGTATTTCTCCAAAATTGGTGTGAGCTCAAAGATTGATGCACAACACGCAGGTCAGAAAGTGCATGATCTTCAAAATGATTGGATACCAGAATAAAACGCATGACACCGGTTTTAGTGAGCAGAACGCTTGTTTCTGGAAAAACTTTAGAATGCTCGAGACAAAAAACTTTTCACGAACCTCAAAATAAAAAAAAAACTAAACATAATAGCCAAAATCGTAAATATCAATTTAACCTTAGGGATTACAACAGTCTACATTTAATTATTGTAAATTCAGAAATCATTCCGAAATTTTTACTATCATTTCTAATTCATCGACTCAAAATTGGTGAAAAAAAATACGAAAAAGAACGGTCCACAAAACAAGCCGAAAAATAAAAATGAGAAACACAAACCATACTAAAAACCCAAGATACACTCTGGTGACCTGAATGGTTAAGCAGTTCCTTCTAGACTAGGGACAACTATCGTATTGATCATGGTAATAATGAAAATTTTGTGATAAGTAGCATTTTGTGATGTATCAAGGGGGGGGGGGGGGGGGTGGTCAAACGGGCGGGTTGTTGCTACGAAATTTGCCAACTGGCTATCTGTGACACAGTAAATCCTGAACGGTCATTCAAATAGTGACGGTTCCGTAAATCTTGCAATCCCCTATCAGTGAAACTATGATAGGAAATGTATGCCTTGGAATATCATATCACTTGAGAGATATATACTCTGTATCCTGCAGGTATTGATCGCTGGAATGCTGGTATACAAAAATCGAAAGCTCACAATGGATATTGGCATCATCTCTTGTGTCGTTAAGTTGAGTACTCAACTGGCCCTCATTATTAGTCAAGACATGAAGACTAAACTTTTAATGTGGCTATCTTTATCTAAAGTTCAATGGGATAGATATGTTCACATACTCACCAAACTTTGAATTTTACAGTTAGAGGCCATTTACGACAAAAGGGACGATTATTAATTTTCCTTTTTTGGACGCTCGTGTTTCTTTGGCGCCGTTTAGTGTTTATACATCCCAACTCGTTCGCTATGCCCGTGTCTGTAGTACCGTTATGTTATCACATATTAGTTAAAACCTTTTACTTAGTTCTTCCTTAGATACAAAGATTTGGTTTGAAAGTTTAGCTGTACCTGTAGAAAGTTTATTTCAAACGATATAGCACATCCTAATTTTTAAGGTGATGTTGTTTACCGAGCCCGGTAAACTTATCGATTCTTTAAATAAACTAATTCTAAAAGGTTACCAAATCAACACTGTAATTAGATCTTTAAATATTGTTTTTATTAGTATGAAAACCAAACTGAATATTATTGTTAATAATGCACATTCACGGTTCTACAATCTGTCGATACCTATATTTTGGAATTGCAAAAGGTCATGTTTTTCTCTGACTGGTAATTACATTATAAAGACGTCTTTATACAATGTACTAAATCCGTTGGATGCTGGATGTTTACTGATTGATATTTTAATCTTAGATACATGATTTTTATATTACTTGTTATTTGCATTGAACTAGCTTCCAGTAACTGCGAGGACTCTCAGATCTGTACTTTGTGTTTTTGTTGTTGTTGTATAAATTCTATGGCAAATCCGATCTGTGTTTTTGTTACATGTAGTTGTTTTTTGGCTTTGTTATATCGATCTGATGAGTTAAGCCATTTTCAAATGATTTTTATAGTTTGTTCTTACGTTGTACTGCTACACGACTGTCCAAGGTTAGGGGGGGGGGGGGGGGGGGGGGGGGGTTGGCGCCCGCAAACATGTTTAATCCCGCTACATTCTGTTTTTGCTTGTCGCAAGTCAGTAGCCTGTAATTCAGTGGTTTTGTCATTTGTTACTGTATATCATATTTATTTTTCGTTTATTATTTTGTACATGAATCAGGCTGTTAGTTTTCTTGTTTGAATTGTTTTACATTTGTCAATTCGGGGCATTTTATAGCTTACTATGCGGTATGGGTTTCGCTCATTGTTGAAGGCTGAACGGTGACCTATATATATTTGTTAAATTCTACGTCATTTTGTCTCTTGTGGAGAGTTGTCTCATCGACAATCATATCACATCTTCTTATTCTTATATAAACTATATAGCAGAACGTTAAATTAAAATATAATGCCAGCTTCTTTTCATTCTCTTTGAGATGCTCTTGAATGAATTATAAAAATAAAGAGATGTGGTATGACTGTCAGTGACAAATCTATCGCATACGATAAACGAACAAGTAGGTAAGTAGAGAAACACAGTTGGTTCCCACAGATGTACCGATTTCTACTGAAAAACACGTCAAACAAATGTAACAAATAAGTTGTCAATCAAAACGTCAAGCATATGGATAATGTCAGTTTCATATAACTTTTTGCTTGAGTCGTACATGTAATGTCGTACAAGTTCTTTCAAGATTTAGTAGTTTAATAAAATTTAAATATGGTCTGTTTTATATAGGTTTTTTTTAAAAGGGATAAACTCCAGATGGAAGTGTACTTTAATTTATACATATTTTCTGCCAGAAATTAAGATTTTTATTTATGCCGCAGATAACTTTAAGAATTGAAATATATCAAATGACGTGATATTTATAAACAAGATCTCTGTTAAATAATAAGTTAATTCCATATATAAATATGTTAAAGAAAGTATGTAAATTTTACACCCACGTTGACAGCTTGATAAATTATAAAATTCACAATAAATAACATATTCAGTAACACTAATTTAAATCAGTCTTTATATATGTGCAATTACTCTATATGTGTATGGAATAAAACCATGTTTAATAAGTGATTCATCATGATGCATGTTTGTAAATCTTTTAAGAAGACAACATTTTGTTGTCGTCTTTTCGTATATCATTGTAACAAGTAAATTAAAACAACAATACTCGTGCATTAACGCATCATTCGGCACACCTCGGCATATCTAAGATGTAGGGTAGCGGAATCTGCCGAGGTTTCCCGATTGATTAACATTTAGTGCGTAGAGATTGCAAGTGCATTTCTGTGGAAGTTCATTATAAGTTAATGACATCTTACTACATTACTACAATATTTTTGAATTTAAATAGAATAATGGAATGGATTATTACGATTTATTGTCATAGCAACGTTGTTAATTTCAAAGATCAATTAAAAGTATTATATACAGTTAGTTTCGATCAATTAATGGATTTGACTTCAATCAGTTGTGTTATAGATTAACCTATTTCACATATAAATGCAATAAGCTTAGTAGTTTCATTGTTCCATTATAGAATTGTTTTACGTATCATTTGTTGTGTGTCAGGAAAGCAAATATCAGAAAAAAATATTTCTAGTCTCATTTTTTACCATTCCTTATTTTTTTAATTTCCGGTTCCCCTGAGATATTCACCGGGCAAGATAGACACAGAAAACAACAACCAAAAGTAGAACACGTTGTATAAGATAAGGCAATGCCATCTATTTGATGACGGATGACTTAAGGATGTTCGCTTCTCTATTTCAAAATAACAAGCTTTTAAAAGGACTTTTATAAATTGATAGTACGTAAATAAAGGAAATAAAAAAGCAGAAAAAAATAAAGGGTCAGTGTGCTTATTTTTGAGATAAACGCTATTGAATATTTGGCGGGAAATGATTCTCTCTAGAATTTTCATATATTTAACATTGGCACCTTTTTCCTTTAAAAAAAAACATTGAAAAAATAACAAGGAGTTATAAGATTTTCAAATATGGCTTTTAAAACTATATGTTATAAAATAATGAAAAGAAAAGTAGGGGTTAATGGGCAAAATTTGATTGGCACTATATGGTTAAACCAGAGGATTCCGAATATCTGGTAAAAATTCAAAAACAAGAGGAGCGAACATCCTTAACTTGAATTCTGTTGTGTATTTTTTTTTTGCACGTGTCGTCTGTGGCCCTTGTTTACACATCGTTACAAGCATTTGATAGGGGAGATAATAACACTTCCGGAGCAACTGAGTACTTTCACCCTACGTTTAAGTGGGATTTGTGTAGCTCAATCTTTTATTGTAACAGTTGTCTTTTACATTTTCTGAGGACTTTAACTTGTCTTTTTTTTTCTTTATGTTCTGTTGTTATCTGTTCTTCCTACATTTAGTGTTTGTTTGCCCCTTAAAATCTTCTGATATTTTCATGACGTTTTTATTTTTTTTAGATAAACAGCAATCCTTTTGCTTCCCTGTGTACTTTGGATTCTTCTTTTAAATGATAAGCCTTTAAATATTTGTTCGGTAAATCTAAAATGTTTATACTATGTTACTTCATAAAATACCTGTGTTGAAAGACAGTACTTACCTAGAAACTTTTCTTATGGCGACAGCCTTATTTATATCAAACCCTCCTATTATGTACAAAAAGTTCTTATGGACTGCGACCCCAAAGTTCGAAATTCCAGTGGATGCGCTCCAGTGATCAGTCTTGATTTGATAGTTCTTTATTTCCGACCTGTCGGGAGTTAAAAGGAGGAAACTAGCATCCCCGCTTCCACTTCTATTAATGATGTAAAGACGTTGTTGATATATGGGGCTTTTAGTTATAAATCCGTTCATTCTCTTCTTTGATCATTGTCTTTTTATCTATTCTGTTACTGCATCACACCTGAAAAATATTTTCGGAGATTCACTTAGGTTCATTTTTAACTCTGTTATGTAGAGCTTCTATCAAATTATATATAAAGCGGGCAGTATATAGTGATGGGGGAGTCTGTTCGTTCGTTCGTTCAATCGTCCTCCTGTTTCACTTTTGTATCCGCAATTGCTCCTGACCGACGGCATGAAAAAATTTTGGAGAAACTATAACACAATCTGAATCAAAAGATGTACTTTTGCAACTTCTATTTTTTTTGTTCGACCATTTTCTCTCCGCAACGCCTCCTAAAACCCTTCCATTCGTATTTCAATTTATTGAAACTTTATCACAATCTTAACCATAAAATGTTATTCTGCACCTCTTATTACGTGTTATATCCGAATTATTTTTTTGGATTTCGTTAATCAAATCATGAACTTTGCAAGGAGCTTTGCTCGCAGTACCTCTAGATTTAATGTTTTCCCGTACACATGTATTATCATCTGATATTCACAATTATTTCGATATCAGCGTTTTAGAAATGGTATCTTTGATAGTTATAAATTGAAATAGATTTCCGTTGTTTGTTACATATTAAACAAAATCCACACGAGAATGACCATACCGAATGGAAAGTGGTGTATTTGGGTACCTCTGCATCAACGTTCCATATAACATGAAAAGCTGCATACTAATAAACAATTTTCACCTTAAATCTTGCAGAATAGAGCAAATTGTCGGTAAAGAAACACAATTAAGCAAACTTCATTTGATAAGAATATAATATGACAATTATCTACAGCAATGTGTAAAAAACAGAAACTTTTCTTTACAAAATAAAGTAAATATTTATAATAACTTACTGTCATTGTAATAATATATGGAACATTCAACGTACACCAGCATAAAACATATATCATTTGTCAATATATACATGTACCAATGTACCATTCATGGTTGTTTTTAAATATAAAGTAGATGACACCCAATTCTATTTAAATTCCATTTTAACAATACTAAATAAAGATCATCGAATCGTCATTTTAATCTTGTATAACATTTTAAATGCTATTTTAGATTTAAGTTTAATAAAACGTTAACAAATGGAAATAATTCAGTGTTCAAATATTTACACTTACTAATCGCATAAAAGTAGTTAAATGAAAATTATGCATTACACAAACACATAATTTATCATGTAGATATGAGCACTTTAAACAGGGTGAAAGGAATTTATCTCCAGTATGTTCAAGTAATCAAGGCGCTGTGCTTACGATTTTACAATAAATAGGTCTGTTTGAATACTGTCTAAACTGAAATATATTACTAAGATAAAATAAAAATCGTTATGTCAATATATGTTGTGGAATTAATACAAAGAAAGATTAATGGTATTGTTTTACTAACCACTTCATTGTTGTTCAGAAAATAAAAACTTATTAAGCAATTGATTTATTGTGTCATCGAGGTATCAAAGAGAATTATTCATCATTCAGAAGAGTATAAGACGCTATAATTGCTATCTTTAAGTTTTATCACAGATCGAGCCACTTATCAAACATTGGCTAATTTTTATTTCAGATATATGTTTTTATGTATTGTACGCGTACGGTGACATTTGTATTTTTAGTAAAGAATCTTTCAAGTTGGATATCAATTTTGGTACACTGTAAATGTTTTAATTCGTCCGACCTAGATCAGAGTTGGGTTAAACTTTCACAGACTGAATTTGCTAACATGCTTTGTTGGCGGATCTTGTTCATTGGTCGTTTGATGGAACCATGGGTTCCTAGTGGTTGCTTCCTAAGCTTAACGGACGCCATCATGATTTGGTTAACCGTTATGGAATAACTGTGTCACAGATGACCTCTATGCTCTTCAAATTCGTACTTTATTTGGCCTTTTAAATTTTGGATTCGAGCGTCATTTGTGAGTCTTTGTAGATGAAACGCGCATCTGGTGTACACAATTATAAGCCTGGTATCTTTAATGGGGTTTTCAATGGTCGGAGCCACAATCCAGTCCTTATTTCAATCAATTAATGAGACTTATTAACCAATTGTGCTTGTCAGGAGCAACACAACGGGTGTCATATATGTTGCAGGATCTACTGAGCCATCCAGAGGATACAAAGGTCGTGTCAGTTTTCCCAAAGTGTATTTTACACAAGGACCAATTTAAAAAGTATATCAATTGCTCCTAAGATTCACAGTATGATAGCTTCATGTGAGTAATTTTAGGTTCTAACAACAATATATTATAATTCTAAAAATGTTACAAATTATAACTGTACAGTGTTTTCTGAACTGCATCTGTTAAAAAATCAGCAATTTATTTAAGATTTATCGAAAATTAGGAAGAGAGGCATCCCAAAATCACAGCTATATCGAAAAAAACCCTTTTGTATTGTCTTTCAGATGCAAATTTATAAAAACAAAAAAAAATCGTGATGATCTTCGCCACAAAATTGGCGGATTTCTGGAGCAATATCCTCATTTCTGACCCATGATCATATTTACATGTAGAAAAACTTAACAAAGACACGAGGCTTATAATTTGTACGCCAGACGAGAGATTCGTCTACAAGAGACTCAGCAGTGACGCTCGAATCAAAAAGATAAATGGCCAAATCGAGTACGAAGTCAGATGGTTTTATCAAATAAAATTTACCCATACTGGTAATCTTCAGAAAATTCCTACTTCAAATCCCAAGTCACTAACATTCCAGAGATACTCACATATTTTTTAAATCACTCTAAATAGAGTTCGTGGAAATTTGTTGTAACTTCTACTCTATTTATCCGACGAACAAATATAAAACTTAGGGGCTTATTGATATCTAGACTTAATTGTGTAATTTCAAGTTAAACTGGACCAATAGTTACAAATGTATAAACATATTTGTTTCAAAATACAAAAAAAAAAAAAAGAAAAGGAAGTGAGTATGTAGACCAAATGCTTCATTCCGAATAATCAGATGGAATTAAAAATCTATGACCACGGTACTCTTTATGTAAATGTAAGAAAATCAGTTAGAAAAAGTTCAAATGGAATATTTATGAAAAATTACTAACGATACAACAATTAAATCTTAGTTTGCTTAATATAATTAGTGTCTAGTGAATCGATCCGAATGAGTAACATTCATCTCTTACGGTGAAATACGTTAAATGAATAAGTAATTTAGAGATATTTATGCATTTGCCGAGTCTTTTGCGCTTCTGGTGGTTTTTTTTTTCTGAAAGTACACTTCCCTCATATCGAATTTCCTAAGCTTTTAATTATGTTATTTGCATAAAGCCAAATTGAATGATCACTGATACTGCTAACAGATAAAAGTTATAACAATGAAGGTCAATATTGGAGTGATAAAGAAACTTAAAGAACATTTAAAAAAAAAAAATGACAGAAAAACACGTCACAATAATTATACGTTATATAAAAATAAGGAGATGTGATATGATTGTCAATGAGACAACTATCCACCAAAGTTCAAATGAAGTGGATGTAAGCAATAATAGGCAACCGTACGGCCTTCAACAATGAGAAAAACCCATACCGTATGGTAACCATTTCACTAACTTAAACCCAAATTGATATTGAGGGATACATCTTTGTACCTCCCTCATTCCCTGAGGCCTCCGATAGTTTATTCGTTAAAGATAAACAGTAAATAAAAAAAAGAACAACATAAAAGAAAAATAGATGTGCAAAAATATATATCGATTGCTAAGAATACATTTCGTTCGTTGGATTGTTAAGGAGTTCAAAGTAAACATCAATAATCTTAGAATCAGAATAATCAACGGTTGACATGTTGGTTGGGTATGGCATCAACGATATGGGTGTCAAGATCACCAAACTCATCTATCCTAGAAACAAAAATCTTTTATTTTGTTTTGATGAAAGCAGTTTTTATCAAGAATTTAAACAAATGGGAGCCAACATTTGGTCAAAATGTGTGAAATTTCAATTTTACTTTTAAATTATAGTCATTTGATTTTTAACTCATCTTTCACCAATTACCCGTGATGGTACGCATGCTTATTTCGGAAGTTTAAAACTCACTTGTAAAAAAGGCAGGGGTTTGTTTTATAAAATCTTGATGATAATTAGTTCGTACATACAATATGTTTATAAGTAAACGATAAGAGTGTACTGAGATCATATTGAATCAGAATAAAAACAAAATAATCATCCATATATAGAAAAACAAATTTGTTATCAATGAAACATTTACAAGTCTGTTTCTACTCACCCTTTTTCAGGTTGTACCGTATACATTTTGTTATCCCGTATACCCTTTTTCAATCTTAAATTTAAGCATGTGTACTGAACCTTATTTGCAACTTTCAAATTACATGTTTGACTAAGAATTTTAAATAAAAGATTTGTAAATTAAAGTAAAAGCGAAAAGACAATGAATGGAAATCTAAAATACCTATTGACGAAAATTATGCTTGGATGTCACTTAAATTTGGTAGACTGTAAACTTCATTTCAATAGTTTTCAATGGTCTTTTGTCATGTGCATTATCAGTTCGACTATTTAAACTTTTGAAAGCTAATTAAAAAGTAAATAGATTTATAGGTTTTAAATTACAGTTCGACCGTACGGCAGTTATTAGGATTCAATAAAGGTATACCTTATATGAGGTCGTCGCGTCATATCGCTGTTGTATTTTGTTGGCAGGTGGTAGGTTATATACCGTTCATATCAAAAATCGATCTATCATTTGACAAAACCATTTACATTCATAAAAAATTACAATCAAAAGGATACTGGAGTTAAGTTGTTTATCAAGTGGTTCGTCATCTTTATGCATTAATGCATTGATGCATTAATCGATAAAACCAATCATGTATATACCGTCCTAACAGGTGTAATTTACGACAGATTAATTCGCTTATGTATAATATATAAAGGTGGTATTCCGATGTTTAGCAAATACATCATAATTCTAGGTAAAACCATACAGGAATTCAGGTGAAAACAATCATATGTTGAATGAGATTGGTTACGTCAAAAGGAAAATTCTGCTCTGTATGCATCACCCGTCATACGATTCCAAAGTCATGTCTCAACCAGAAACATGATATAACGGGTAATAATATCAAATGGGTCAAAGATTGAGTTAAAATGTCATTCGTTAGTTCACAAACTAAGCGTCGGAGCACTTGAGTTCAGCCAAGGCTTTTGGTTGGGTTCGCGTTGCTCAAGTGTTCTTTTTCTGTTTAATTCCCCTGTTTTCTTTTGGCCAGGTGTTGTCTGTTTTTCTTCACTTGATGGTTTTTGATTGCCCCCCTTGTTATCTCCTACTCTTTTAAGACACTGTGTCGACCAACTATGCTGTGTTTGCGACAAATAGATAATTTAAGTCATTCTTCCTCAAAACGTACAGACGTACTTTTTCAGATAAGAGCATACCGAAGTTTATTTGCCATAATGGGAGCAATTTATGGTATACCAAACTTACTGAGATACGCACAGGACACAGGGTGGGGCATTTGACTTAAACGACATTTTGCTACTCAATAATGGGAAGTTGTCAGCAGGAAAGTGAAATAGATGTATCATAGGTCTTAATTTTGAGTCAATACGCGTCAATTTCAATGTAACGATCTAATTCGTATTGGTACAAGAACAATAAGGTGGATGTACTATTACTTCCCATTGGAATATATATAAACTTATTGATTACGAAAAGTCCATTGCTTCGATAATTTCACCTCAATAATTTCCAACGAAATCATCGTGGTTCTGAGCTTTCCTCGACATAGAGGAAGAAATAAGTACAAAATGTGTATGCTTCTTTTATTTTTATTGAGGAATCACTGTTTGATAAGTAGTTGTAGACTATATTTCTAAACAAAAGGATACCAAAATACCAAACTTCAAGGCAAAGTCATCTAGGGGAAGTCCATAAAACTGAAAAATCAAACGCAATCAATCAACGGAACAAGTGAAAAACAACTACCATATTCCTGACTTGCTACAGGCATTTTTCGATTTTAGAGTGAGGAATAAAAGAGTGTAGAAACAATAAAAAAAAGATTTTGGTGATTGATTAAAGATAGTTCAAGATTTTTATCACTGTAACGAGGAATTGAAAATAGTGATGCTTGTATAAGAAGACAACTTGCTTGGGTTTTTACCTGTTGAACTACAACATATTTATCAGATATTCTTTTAACTTAGCATTTTGGCATTACAAATATTTTAACCATATGTGCGCATGGATTTGTCAATGAATGATCTGCCTGGGTTTATCCTAGTTCTATAAACTCGTTTGTTGGTGTGGTTTATGGGTGTTTCTCGTTTCTCGTTTCTCGTTTTTTATATAGATTAGACCGTTGGCTTTCCTGTTTGAATTGTTTTACACAAGTCATTTTGAGACCCTTTATAGCTTGCTATTCGGTGTGTGCCAAGGCTCCATGTTGAAGGCCGTACTTTGACCTATAATTGTTAACTTTTTATACATTGTGACTTGGATGGAGAGTTGTCTCATTGGCAATCATACCACATTTTCTTATTTATATCAGTTATATTTCTTATCTTTCAAGGATCCTAATGGAGTCATAAAGAGGCTAAAATTTGTTTGCTTCGTCTGCGATGGCGTGTTGTGACTAGGTCATTCAAAGGGGAACCACTAAAATTATTTCAGTGATGTTTGGTATGTGTTAGCATTAGTACATCTCTCTTCCATAGATATTGTTTGGCCTGGCCCTATCAGTCATGTTCCATTGACTTAAAACTTTTGCACAGCTTACATGTAAACGTTTGTAATTATATAAGTTGAAGGATAACTACTAAGGGTACCAAGTCAATGACACGTGTTGTATATTTGTATTTGGATAGGTACATAGTATTGCCATCGATATTTTTTGGCCCACCCCAAGTCATGATCCATTGACTTTGAAAGTTTTGTAAAGTTTACATTTCAAATTTGAACATTTGCACTAAACAATCGACATTCCATACAGGCGCGACATCTCTGAGTCCACGGTTTATATTCTAGTTACAGGCTTATTGTGTGATAGTTCATATCTTTTCTTTACAGTTCACGACGTGCTTCATGGCTGACAATGCCAAATACACGTGTGATAACATGACCTACAGGATAACTATTTGAAAGAAATCTCGAAATGATGATTGTCTTTGCTCTGTTTATTTTCAAATGTCATTCTGCTTACAATAAACTTCGAAAATCAATATGTGAATTTTGTGGTTAAAATATCATGTTTGTCGAATCCTCTTTGCAGATAAAGTTTTTACTTATTTCGTTAAAAGTATTTGGATGATTTAAGTTCGTTGTTCGTTTTAATCATAATGGAAAAATACTTCCCGGTGTTCAGCTAATTCAAAGTTCAATGAATTATCCTCCGACGCATGATTTTCATCACAAAAGAAAATCGAACGTGGTCTGAAGATAACGGATGTATCAACCCTTTTTATGGTAACTAGTATCTGGTTAGTCTTTGTATTTATATACTGTAAGCATAGATTGCTGTATTGTTTACCCGTATGTTTGGAAAATGGTAAACCCTTTTGCCGCACAATTTTATTATTTAAAGAGATAAATTCAACTCTAGATCGAAGATAGCTGTCGTTTTATGTCTTTCAAACTATAGTCCAAATAACCAGTTGCTACATTTTTAAATTCATTTTTTTTTTATTAAATTATAGGATTGTCGAAAGAAGGACTGATTATATAAATCTACTGTAGTCAAATTTCGTTCAGTGTTAAGGCTGTAGTTGTTAGCTCATCTCGTATGTTGTGCCAATGTTAGTCTGTCCTCACGAATACAATAACAAGTTATTATTTTACAATGTTATTAAAGTACAATAAAATACAGTGTAATACAGTTTACTAGTACTTTATGATAAAATACTAAAAATATTAATCATACAAAATTTACTTGATTGACCCCGATAAGGGTACTGGAATAGATCATTTTCCATTAATAACAAATGCAATCTTTGTCGATAACTTGATTGTTGATGATTACGAAGACAATGTACATGCTGTTTCATTTTCAATTTTCCCAGCACGATATATATCTTCAAACATATCTGTGGAAAAACAAAATGATACTTAGTAAACCCTTAACAGTTAACAGTTTTTTAACAAAAATTAAAATGGAAAAATATTGCTATCGAGTAAGAGTTGGACTTCAAGTTCGAAATAAAGCTAGAGCTATAGATGAAATAAATAACACATAGTTAAGAGGAGGATAGAGTAGATGTTTAAAATCCTTGCAAAAACATTGTCCACCTAGGCATGCTAGGAGCCCACATTCTCCTCTTTCACCCTCCCAGTTATGAAGCATCCAATCTAGGATATTGTTCATTTTTGCATTAAGGAATTTATTTGCCATATGCATTGCTATAATTCTATGTTCGGATTTAACTTTACGTTAGTCATTTTTTGTTATATCAGCTCTTAAACGTATGTATTAGCTTTTGGACTTTCAACTATTTTGGCCTCCATCATTTTTGACGAGACGCTTAATGTTGAATTAAAGTTGGTATCGTTAATGTTATTGTACTGAATATTCTGTTGTTATTGTATTTCAAATCATATATTTTTGTTATATATGTATATGAAAAAAATACTGTTATCCGCTAAGTTTCTTATCTGATAAGTATGTGTTTAGCTTACTATCTGCTCAATTTTGTCAGAATTTAATATACAATTGATTGGGATATTTTAGGTATTGATGCATTGGCTTCCCAAACGTGTAATTAAGGGTTTTCCAGAAACAAGAGGTGTGCGTACTGAAACAAAATCTATCATAATATGTTTTATGAACGTGTAAACTAATACATAAATACAGTGGTTTATCAATGATTAAACCAAGATGACGTTAAATGAAATTGGATACCCTTCATTTATCATGCTTTTCAATAATATATGATCAAATCGCTGAAAGACCCCCTCCTAAATTATTGAAAACTATCATTCTGCATTGGCAATAATATATCGGTGTACATTAGATGCACCCATTTCCGCTAACGCACTCAAGGTGTATCTAATACTTGTATTTAATTTACTATCTGATTAAGAACTATTAACCTATACAGTAAATGGTGTTTTCTTTTTCTTGTTTAAGTGTGTATTAAGTGTATTATCACAATACATTAAAATTTTTGGAGTTTGAGCATTACAGATCACCTTTCTTGTTTCTTTCTTACGTCAAAATTATATTGACCACTAATTGCAATATGGGAAGCGCATGTTGTCATTTTTATTTTATTTGTGAAATGTAATCAATTTAATTATCTAGGGATAAATACTGCATGCATTACGTGTTAATGCCTTATGAATTTTCCAATAGTTAAACAATCAGAATAATTTGCAGGGTGAGATCATTATTTCCTAAAGTAGATAGGATGACAAGGCCATTTGAGTTCGCTAAACCAAACAACATCATGTAGGTGTTAACAAAACCTACGTCAGTCATATATCAGTATTCATATTGTTTTATCATATCAAGTCTTATGTTGCTAGTTGCTGCCTTGAACTTGCAATACGGTGTAAGCTTTTGCTCAGTGTTCAAGGCATGTAATTTTATAGAAAAACAATGAAAATCGCTGCTCCTTTGATTTGGGTTGGGCATGTGCAGCATAAGGATTGGTTTTCTGTTAATCACCATGTCCCTTCTATCTAACAGTAGTTCTGTTGTTGGTTACTGCATATCATGCTTTTTTCCCGTTTATTGTACTGTACATAAATTAGACCTTTAATTTTCTCGTTTGATTGATTTAGAATTTTGTCAATCCATTAAGAGTAAACGTCTTTTACTATGCATCACTAGTAAACAAATTTTGAACTGAACATCTCATAAAAGATAGAACAATAAATGTTTAAGTCATGTTCAGTCTTTCAGTTTATTTCTAGGTTTATCCATTTTGATAAATTCAGTCCTGTTTAGACAATACACTTGAATTCAAATAAGATCTGTTCAGACTGTTCGAAAACTGTTTCCTACCTATACAAAATTAAAACAACAACAAACAGAATTGTTTGAAATGCTACATAACACAACTGGATTCACTGTAATCAATGTGTTTGAACAATACCGAATTTATTGTTAGAAAGGAACTGATAAATAACTAAAATTCTTAAAGCAATACTTGTGACATTTTTAGTTTCAGACTTTTCAGATGATTTTAAGATCAAAATGACCGTTTAAGACTAAAAATATAAACTAGTAAATGGACTAAATCATCCTATTAAAATAGCAATGAAGCATTACCATTATATTGAAGAAGTTCTAACAATTATTTCTCTCTTTCAAGTAATTATTTCTTAAGATTGAATATAAAAACGCTACTTAAAACTATGTAACAACACAAATTTAAAAAAATGAGTCTATTCAATTTCAAGTAATTGATACATTTTAATAAAATCATCATAGATACCAGGTTTAAATTTTGTACGCTAGACGCGCGTTTCGTCCAAAATACTCATCAGTGACGTTCGGATAAAAACAGTTTAAAAGGCAAAATAAATTACGAAGTTGAAGAGCATTGTGGACCCAAAATTTCAAACGGTTTTGCCAAATATAGCTACGGTAATCCATTCCTGCAAGCCTGTATCAATTTCTTGTATATTTTCCCCTGAATGAAACACAAAAGTGTTGACCCCTCTAATTCAAGATTTAAAATTATTCATATATATTAGATTGGTCACACTGGAAGACTTTCCTGATCGTAAGGAAAAGTAAAAGAAACCAAAAGATTGTTACTTACAATTTAAAGCGAAACATTTAATATTCATATGTAATCAGATTTCGTGTTGCGTCATTCAAATCCTTGTGTAAATTTTCACTTGATACTTTTGTTGTCAACTGACCTTTTTCTCGTTATCGCAAAGGAAGTACGTAAAATTTAATCAGGGAAAACAAGGCGGAAGAATGACATAGACCTAAAAGGATATTTGTGTAAAATATGCAAAAATAAAGACTTAAATATAAAAGTAGAAAATAAGTGAACCTTAAATCTTAGTTTTGTTTTCTTCCCATTTCCTTTTAGGGGATGTAATTTTATTAATAGATTTGTGATCGAATTCTTGCATTCGAATGAAGGAAGTAATGAATAGTTTGATTCATTATTAATGCATCAGATCGACCGATTGTCTGTTAGTAACATTCAAATGCACAGTGATTATATTGCATGTTATAATATGCATAGATGCATTGTGTCTATAACTTGATTAGAAATATAACTGGAATTGTCTTTGATCTTTGGTTTGTATGCAGTGCTGAAAATATTTCATGTTGTACAAAACAAATAACTAGATAAAGATTTCACACAGAGAACAACTGGGGATAGTGTAATGAGGATATAATGTTTAAATAGATGGATTTCATTGTACCTTACTATAACAAAACTATTCTTGATCACAGTAGTTCGATATAAAATGAAAAACATCTTATTACTGACAGTACTAGATAAGCCCTGCAATATGACTATTTGACTATTCAACAAGACATATCGTCGTTTGTTTTACTCTTCTTAATGTTTTATGACCATTTGAAAATGTCGTCTCCGTTGAATTCATTGCCTATTTGTTAAGATTATGGACTTATTAAAACTATAGGTCTTTCTGTCATACGTCTATTGTTTGGGACTTGATGTGTTCTCTTTATGTAATTTTGTTATTTGTTTTGTTGTTGTCTGATATGTTGTGTGATATATAGGGGAAACGGTGTATTTTCCACATACTTTAAACCATTAGCTTGAACACGAGTACATGGACCCCTCTTTTTAAAAATGACATTTTGCATTATGTATGAAGATTATTTGTACCAATTTTCATGAACAAAATAATCACCGATAAAAAAAAAATTTAAAATTAGATAAATATACAGCAAGAAATGCCGGATTTTTTTCTAAAATCTCTAAAAAATATTATTTCACAAAATAGTTACACAAATATTACATACGTATGTACAGAAGATATTACAGATATCTTTACAAAAATCTGCTTGTGTTTTTCTTTTGAAACAAAAAAAAAGTTTTGAATGTCTGTCCAAAAGGAATAAATGTCCAAGAAACTGAAAGTTTATAGTAAATGTCTAAAATTTCAACCCCATTTATCTGTAAAAGTAGCACATGAAGGTATATTTTTTATTACAAATTTAACTTGACTAGATGAAAAAAAAGTATATATGCAAATTTTCGTAAAAAAATCACCGTGGGATCAAAACTGTATCGTATGCCCTTAAAAGACTGGACAATTATATTGTAAAGGCATTTTCAGATGTATCCACTGTGGTAAATTTAGAACGCTTCCGACAATTCGATTGCAGTCAATTAAGATATGTTCAGTCTATGTTCAGACTGTTCAATAGTTGTTATATACATGGACACATCAACATCATAATGAATTGTCCGAAAACCTACTGAACAGTATTGGATTGACTGCAAGCTTGTTCAGACTTGATGTAAAGATCAAAATAACGGGTTAAGACTAAAATTCATTTACTAGTGACATGTGCCAACATCTACTCTTACATCTGTTATTTATGAACTTTTTCATTCATACCTTTGAAGTTTTTAAATTCCGGTTTACACATAAATCAATATTAGTACCATATATGTCAAGGAATAAAGATTACCAAAAACAAAATTTGTAATCAACAGGCTCTCACAAATTTATGGCTTTTTTTGTTTTTAACATGTTTGAATGCTCCTTTTTTCAGATACAAGAAACAATGAATGACGTTCAGAGACTAGCATTAGAAATTTGCCAAAATAGGACGGACTTGAGCGATGAGAAAAAAGAAAGAATCCGAAAGATGCTGCTGGAGCCAGAGAGTATTGAAAATATGTCTATGCCGTCTACTTCTTCTTCGAATAACATGTATCCTGTCAGTGCACCACGAGAAATGACAATTGGAGAAACAACACTGTCTAATCTGTCTGAAGAAGTAGAACAATGTCGATTGTCGAGACGTTTTTCAAAAACTAGAAAGATATTCGGGTCTGACATGTGCCAAAATACAGGAGAGTTAAAACGTGAAAAACGTTGGCCATCAGCGGCCACTATTTTAGCGTCTAGAAAAAGTCAAAGCACACCTAAACTTAAAAGACAACTGTCCACGATCGTTGCATCCAAAGTTCCAAAAGAGAATCTCAATGGACATGTTTTAATTTCAAATGCAAATGGGAATATTGAACGGAATTTTAGTGAATCTGTATTTCAAGGTCGTCGACTTACTGTTCCAACGGAAAATGGAATTACGCACAATTTTGCTCAAAACGGTCAGAACTTGAGTCTTCCAAATAAATTACCATATACTGGTGTAAATGTATTCTCACCTTTAAAATATAAAAAGAAATACACTTTACATGACGTATATAGAGATTTGACCATTATGCGTAGAGCTGTTTCTTCTTGTTTAACTCCTAAAGTACTAACAGACGAAATTCACAATTCAAATGTCAACATTGTTGAAATAAGTAATGAGGTCCCTTCAGATACAATTTTGACAAAGAATGATGGCGAACCGAAAGTTGAAAACAATGCAAAAATTTCCAATACCACTGGAAAATGTCAAGTTCATGAAAAAGAAGAAAACGAACACCAACAAAGCAATCAAATAGTTGAATATAAATTATCAGAAGAACATTCAAGTAAAAACGTGAAAAAAACTCAACTTTTAGACAAAGTTGACAGCAAACACATAAATTTTAATGAGTTTGCCAAAATAAAAAATGATGCGCTATGCAAAGAACCGGATGAACAGGTATTATTAGAAAATAATTCTGAATGCAATGATAATGAAAAAATATTAGAACTTTCAGAAGATGAAAAAGAATCCAGTTTGACTGATACTGATAAAATGAGCGAACAAATCAAACGTCGTGACGAAAAAACATCACTCGAAAAAACAGATAAACCAAATAGTACAGTCAAAGCATTACAACGAGAAAATGACCCAAAAATTTCTCATTCAAAAACAAAAGATGCTAACAAACCAAACGATGATGAGCCGAAAAATTGTGACTCTTATTCTGAAATGAAGACATCAGCTTATACACGTAACTGCTATGAGAATAATTCAGAAAATGTCGAACATGGTACGGATAATAGTAAAAAAGCTGAATATGCTGATATTGTGGACAATACACATATTTCTTGTGCTTTGGAAAATCAGAATGACAATAATCAAGGAAGTCTAATATCTGTTGCGATAGAAGATCAAATGCGTAAACACTGTTTTGATGGCAATTCCACAACTGATAAAAATTTGACATATAGATTAAAAATGACAAACATAAATAGCGTACAAGATGATATGATGTTAAGTGCAAATAAAGGATTTAAAAGCAACAAAGATTATACAAGTAACGTGTCTCTGCAATATGACCGCATTAATGTGACTGAAAACCCCAAAAGAACGTTATCAATGTTATATTCAAAGAATCTTCCTTATGATAATATTTATGAAGACGACCAAAATGCAACGTCTATTGTAAAGGAAACAAGGTCATTCGAAAAAGGGAATGCAAACTATTCTCAGACGTGCAGTAATAATGATCTAAGTTTATGTGATGATACTAAAAAGTACGAAACTATGGAAAATTTAGACAAACTGGCTGATTATTCATCATATAGACTCGACGAGTATGGCAAGTGTATACGTGATTATGATATTTCTACAGGAAACTATGTTAGTTCAAATATCATTACAACAAATGAAAAGGATAAAAAATGTTTTAAGAAAAGTACTGACAGAGAATTAAAAGAAGATATAGCGCCAATTAAATGTAAAGTCTTAAAAAAGAAAAATGAAAAGTACCAAAATGGTAAAACACCAAACGGTACTGTTGGTTATATTGCATATAGAACGATTGTCGATGATCAGAAAAACGCTTACAATGTGGAACAACCAATCAAGAAAAAGAAAAGCTTGCAACCCCGAACAATTAGAGACCCGAAATTGAAACAAAAAGATGAAATACAACATGAATATTCTTTGAGAAAATGTCACGTAAAATTGAACACGGATAGTAGCAATAATAACGGTAGTCAACTGAAATCGAAACCCAAAAGTTTGGCAAAAAGTCGAGAAGAACTATACAGTTACTGTAGATGTCACAAACATAGAGGTCAAAATAAGAATGACGGTTATCATCTACGATCGAGTAAATTAAAAGCTCGTCCAAAAACTCGTGATATCCGCAATAATGTTTTGTCGAAACAGTGGTGTAATGTTAGAAATATTCCAAACGTCAAATTTTCCCAAGCCTCGACTGATAATAAATTATGCACAATAAATAACACAATATTAGAGGGAATGTACCAAACACACCAAAAGAATGATAGTTATAATTCCTTTAATACCTGTTTTAAGACAATAATTAGTGAGAACACGCAATGTATGACCGTGTCTAAAAATAATATCTGTATTTCTAAGGAAAACAACATACTGGGTCAGCATGGTAACGGCACACGAGATAAATTTTGTAACTATACATCGGAATTTAGGAAGGACAGACATACAAAAATGTCTTTACACAGTGAAGGAGTTAAATTTGTAGACAATGAACTAGATAAAGATATCAGAAATGTAAATGTAGAAGAATCTAAAGATGACCTCCAAATTCCCGATGTTGATGACGACAGCGATTCAGATGCAGCGGAAAGCGATGATGAAGTTTTCCAAACTGAAAAAGAAATTGACGAAGGAGATGATAAACTAAAGCCCCGAAAATCTGTTATGTTATCAGGAAATTCTCGGAGGACTGACTTTACTTTATCGAGTACTTTAAGCAGTCGGACACCATTTAGCGAATATGACTATACAGAAAGAGGTAATAGCATCCAGCATGTAGATTTAAATTCCTTATGTGTGTGAAACCTACTCATTCTCCTGCAATTCTTACTGCATATTTGAAATTAAAATGTGAAAATATGATTAATAAAAGTTCCGTTTTTAAGTGTTTTTATCATGTGTCAGGAGAAGATAATGAATGTTTTAAAGAGTCATCAATTATACATTTATCGTAAATTTTATTGTCCATGACGTCTGGTATTCAGAGAAATAAATGTATAGTTATGTTTGTTTTTTTTTATTTCAACGTCTATTGGCGATCAAATCTGTTGATATCTGTTAAATGTTAAAATGTAAATGCAAAGTTTACGACAAATGTCAATATAAATCGAAAAACATTGCAATTTGGATATTGAAAAATTAATAAAGTTTTATCAACATGTAATGTACTATAGGGATACGTTTGTAAGACTTAGTTATCATCATTTTTATAAATCATTTTAATAACGTGACTGATGACATATCATACATATATTTTTGATAACGGCTTTATGACACAACTCATTAATACCACAATACATCTTACAGATATTATCATTTAAAATATTTTTGTTTTAAATAGATTCAGTTTGCACATTATTAAATGAATTACTCAGAGATCTATTATTCATATTCCAACATTGAATGTGTACTATTCTTAAAATATCTTTTCAGAAATTGCAAATGATGTTATTTCTACTATTCTCGATGACGTCATAGATCTTGTATGGCAGGCAAATGTATCCCGATTTAAACATCACGTGTAAGTTGTTTTTTCGCTTATTAGTTTTATAAAAACTTTCTATAGAAATGTACCTGTCCCATTGACGTTCATCTCGCATCTATTTTCATCCATCTTTTTTCCATAGCAGATACATTAAGGGGTTGTCGATACAGATATACTTCAAGTTGTATTTATTCTGTCATCGTTTTTGGTGAAATACGTACGAATGAATGTCGTTCCATCCTCCAAAACATAACGAAGTTAAGGAAAATTATACTTATCATGCCTTTCGATACTGAAAGAGAGGTTCAAACTCAAACAAACTGTTAATGCCATAGCAAAAATCGAGAAACGATCAAAAGACAAAAAAATAACAGTATACAAAACGCATCATAGAAAACCAAAGACCGAGCGAAACCAACCCCGCCAAAAAAAACCGGAGGTAATCTCATGTGCTCCGGGAGGGTAAGCAGATCCTGCTCCATATGTGACACCCGGCGTTTTACTCCTTTACAATGTGTTGATAAGTTATATCATGTGATAAGGCATCACGCAAAAGAGGATTGGTAATGAACCCTAAGACATCACCAAACTCATAAACCATCGGGCATGTAAATTTTCTAACCCTGAAACTTGACCGAATTTGAAATTTAAAATTGAAATAAGTTTTTCATGACAAAGAATAGACCAGACTGTTTCCGATATAGGTATCACTGACATTAAAAAAATAAAAAGCACGAATAACAACACTAAAGATAAAGCAAGAGCGGCACGACCCCCGTTTAAATAAAATTAAGGATGATCTCAGGTGCTCCGGAAGGTTGAGCACTTTGGCTCCACATGTGGCACTCGTCGTGTTGCTCATGAAAGTGCAAACCCGGTGATAAGTCTAATTCGGTAGGTCACATTCGAAGACATACTTATTTTTATATACTATTAAATATGGATGAGTTGTAAATCGACGGTTTTTGTTTAGCTTTTTTCTCCCTTACTTTCAAAGAAGTATTGCCCTTGAACCTAACATATAAAGAAAAATGGACTTTATTGTGCTCTCAGATATATAGCTGATCTTTGTCGCGCCTGAGATGAATGTTTTGAAACGGGACAAAGATGTTGCTTTTCCGCCATCCACCTTATACATATACTTATCAATAAAAAAAATGCACCACATGTTTTTTTTTAAAGGTTTCGATTTTCTGTTATTTGGATGTTTTAACTTTTTTGGTGTGAAATTGAACAATTTTAATCCCATACTGGACATTATTCTAACGTTAATGGAGAAAACTTCTTTCTTTTCCTGCATCAGAGTATCTCAGTAAAAAGTCGGATTTCAAAAGTAAGAGATTAAAAAATGTTTGCAATGTGTTTAGGTAGAAATGCGAATACAAAGAATACAAAGCAGAAAACAATCATTTTGTTGTTATTTCTTCTTAAGGCCTTCAATCAAGTTCATCTGAGAATATTTACATATGATACAATATTGAAAATTTGTATATATGTACTGTTGTGTGCAGTGCACGATGCACATCTTCTACGGTCAAGCTACAATGTCTTCAACAATGGGAAGGTTGTTATGCAGGAGTATACAAGACATAACATTTACACATTTTAACGCAGTTACTTCAAGCTAGTTCAATCCAATTTTATTTATTTAATAAATAAATAATATTTTCCAAGACTGAAATATCAATTACTACACATTTAACGGATGGTGTTTGTCAGTTCGTAATGAAATTTTACTTCTGCTTCGAAAAAATAATAAGTATAGCATTTTTTTTTTATTTGAAAATTTTTCATGCACACAACATTAATGTTTTAACATTATTTTATGAAATTATGTGCTTCGCATTTTAACCTGTAAAATCTACGAACTATTTATTCAATTTTAGGTGTAAAACAAATGACCTCTTCGGAGATGAGACCGTAGGATGTATTGTTTTAGTCGACGAAGGGAAGCAACCGTCTATTTCATTCGATTGCGAAATTCAAAAACCAGCGTCTTTTCCAAACACAGTCGAAACTTATGAAATATTGATTGGAAATATTGTAAAAATTAAAGTTCGGGGCGAACATGTAGTAAGAGAGGTAAGTCATGTTTACTGTAACGTCCAGATCATGTCTATAAAAGCGATCTGAAAGTCAATGTAAAACTTAAAATTGTGAATACTTGTGTAGGATATAAGTAGCATCCCTATGTGCGAAGTAATTTTAAATTGGTTTTAAAGTTCTATCATGAACAAGATAAACAATGTATGCATTAGATACACCTTGAGGGAGGGAGGGGGGGGGGGGGGGTCTTTCAGCGATTTTACCATATGTTATTGAAAAACGTGATAAACGCAGGGTATCCAATTTCATTAAACGACATCTTGGGGTAAATGTTCATATAGTTATTGAAGTATAGAAACAAGTTTGACTGTTTTATAGTGTAATATTGATAGCGCACATTTAATTACTTCTAGATAAGTTTAACCAGTATGACCTGGTTTTTAAAGCTAGCATGCAAAGTGTACGTTGTATTTGTCACTTATCATTATCAAGATGGGACTATCGGGGGGAATACTTATGAAAAAAAAATCGTTTACTGGTGTCCTTCCAGTCATGGTATTCATGTCAATATTCCTGTTTCCATGATTTCAATAAACATATTACTAAAACAAACAACAACGCACCAAACCAAACCTGAATGAAACAACATATACCTAAACTAGGAATTTCACAACTTCGTGCTAAAAATTAAATTAAATGGATTTTAGACTGGTAAAACTACTTCATGACAAACGGAATGAAGCAATTCTTTATGACATATTTATACGATAATTCACACAATTTGAACATAAACATGCTTGTGCAATTCACATGTCCGCGATTTCGCTAATGACTTGTAGTGTTACTGAAAGCTACCGTGTTGTTGATATCCTCGGCGACTTACCGCCAACTAGAAGTGGTATTGAACCAGAATGACAATGATGATAATGATGAGGATGACTCAGTTCTTCTCTTTTTTTCTTCACATTCATGTAATATCGTTGCCTTTTGCTTTTATTCACCTTTTGCGATATAAATCTAATTATGCATATTTATATCAATTTTAATTACAGGGATACGTAAAAGTAGCAGTCCCGTTCAATAAATCTAACATGAGATTTTTCCATGAGCCAGTTCTAAGGATTCTCAATTCAAAAACTAACTCATGGATAAGCATTGATTCTTTTGAAAATATTTATTTTGATGAGAATGATTTGGTAAGTTTAACTCAGAGAACTCTTTTTTATATATCAATACTGTATTCTCATAAAACAAATGTTACAGAGAACAGCAGTTAAGTTATAAGATTTCAATTGTTTAGACGGTGCTCGGTAAGCATCCAATATTTGGATATTTTATAGAAACATCTTTATCAATTAGAATCTTATTATTTATGTATGAACAAATAAACTCATCACTGAGACCAGGATTAAATTTTTTTTACGCCAGACGCGCGTTTCGTCTACAAAAGACTCATCAGTGACGCTCGAATCAACAATCTTAAAGCCAAATCAAGTACGAAGTTAAAGAGCATTGAGGATACAAAATTCCTAAAGTTTTGCCAAATACAGCTTGAGCAATCTATTCCCGGGGTAGAAAATCCATAGTATTTTGAAATATTCAAAGTTTTGTAAACAGTTAATCTATAATTAATAAATTTGACCATTTCAATGATAATTCATATCAACAAAGGGGCAATGTGACAGGAACCAAAAACACAAATATATCATAAACATTTGTTGTCAAGATAGTAACACATTTTTTTTGGAATGGCGGAGAAATGTATACTAGTACATATGTCAGCTTTAAATTGACCGAGATTTATGCTGCTTGTTTGAAAAAGTTCAATTTTGGAATTTTTCTGTTATTTCTTTTTTCTTTATTATGGCTATCATATATTTGATGTACAATTGGAAACAAAAATGGAGCATTTTCCTATATAGTCAACCAAGGGGATTAAATGGAACTCTTTCCAAAAAACTCTGTTAACCATTAATAGCAATTATGTATTCTTGATTTAAATAAAACATTATAACTTACACGAAATAAACATTTCAATAATCAAACTTGTAGGATTTGTCTGTCTTGGAGACTAATCTTAGTAATGAAGAGGAAAGTGTTTACGTAGTTGTTGCCAGACCTGCAGCTGAGTATATTACTTTTGATAAAAACCTTCAAGAGTACGATTCGAGGATTGATAGTGATGTTACAGTATCAAGTCCTGTTGGATCACGAGTCAAAACTGACACAGTTACTATTAAATTTACGGTATTATAGTTGTTCTGTATATATGCTAAACAATATTAACACAAGGTAAATTGAAAAAGGGGAAGTCCATAAAAACTGACAAAATAAAACGTTAGACTATATCAACCTACGGAACGAAACAATTTTCATATTTCTGACTTGGTACAGGCATTTTCCGAAGAAAACATTACACTTGTATGAAAGTTGTTTATAGTTCCGTTATTGATAAAATTGTAGTATATAGTACAAGTCGTGGCATTGTTAATACCCAAACTATTTTGTTTTTTAAATACTTAGAACTTTTCAAAAATATTGAATTTCTTATTGTTTTTTTTACCTTCTGCACATGTATATAATTATGTTTTCAAATATTCATATTTAATGATTAAAAAAAAGAACTAACCCAAACAATCTCTCCCCTACCTACCAAGGTGTTTGCAATATTAAAGACGATACTTATATCCATTGATGAAAACAAGGACATGCGTGAATAAGCAATGAACGAATGACCCAAGACCACCAAATAGACACAATTTAAACACAACAGCTGTTTATCAATGATAAAGCGTGATATTGACAGTATAACTTGTATGATGTAGGGTCAATGAAGGCATTCTCGATATGCATATTTAGACAATGTTGGAACAGAAGCTCGTTTCCTCTCATTCCTGGGAATAGGTAGTGGAAAGACTAATTACATTTAATTCCGAATTCATACAAACCAATTTATGATTTAATTAAAACAGAACTTTCAAACACATATCATTGAATTTATCACCAGGTTCTGCCAATAAGCGTTGACATCGTAGCAGAAACTCGAGATTCTTCTGAAAATGATTGCCAGTCTTTGGTTGGAGCAAGTCCAGTTGTTATCATAGAACAAAGTTATCGGAATCCTCAGCCACTGTTTATTTGTCTTCCATGTGAACGACCAAGTCTCAATGCTCTGAAAAACCGCTTATCATGTGCTCCTTGTCCTCAAGACTCTGGAATAGTCACTATGTCAAGACTTTCAAAATGTGCAATGCATGATTTTGTAGGTAAGGAACTATTTCAATACTGATTATTAAATTAATCGTGAACAAGAGAATACAATCACGTGAAGTTTCGTGTTTGAACGTTTAGAAGCCTGTACTAACATAATACTATTTTTATGGCTTCAACTCTACAACAAAAATAAGGTTAATGAATGCCATACCTAAGAATGTCTTCATTTTAGAAACAGGCAGAAAATTCATGAACTAAATTTTGTTAAGAGCTATCATTGTAGAGATTTTATGGTTTCAAAATTCTGTTAATTGCATCATATGAAACTTTCAGCTAAAAATATTGTCTGTCGGCTTGACAGACAATACTTTTAGAATATATTTTTGTCAAAAACCTTGTTCCAAACAAAGGATATTAATTACAGTCTCAATCAACAAGATGCATATCTTATCAAACAGAGCTGAAATGAAACCTCTCATACAAAAACAAGTTTAGCTACATATTGGCACTGAGTCCCAATTTGTTTAAATAAAGGCAATAGTAGTATACCGTTCAATAGTCATAAATCGATTTAACTGAAACAAATCCGGATCACAAACCAAAACTGAGGGAAACACTGAACTGCTACAAAAACAAACGCCAACATACATGTACATAGAAACGGACTATGTGATAACAACTGCCATATTCCTGACTTGGTACAGGACATTTTATGAAAAAATGTTAGGTTTAACCAGCTGGTTTTCTGGATAGCCAAACCTCCCGCTTATATGGCAATGTTAAAAATAACTCTAAAAGGACAACATTACGTGACAGAAATACAGTACAAATAAATGCAAGAACATTCAGGACAGAGAAATACATAAATAAATGATATAATAGTACATTTCAACATGTAAACCACAGAATAACAACGAACACCTAAAATCAATTTACGACAGAACACAAATACAGCACAATAGAATAATTAAGATTAAGATTTTTTTCTTTTAGATACTATATGATTGTCTTTGAAATATTATGTTATATATATTTTACCAGTACTTTGTTGAAATCAAACCGATGATTAAATGGTTTAATAGTTCATTTGTTGTTTTTACACCTATCAGTAATTGTTTATACATATCATTGTATATTTAGGGAAGTATACGAACGCGCAATTTCTTAATATTTCAACTTTTGACGCTAGACATTACATTTTACCATTTCAAAATATTTTCCTATGGCAGATACTTGGTCTGAAACAGAGAGTCATTTGATACGAATTGGTGGATGTGAACGAATAAAATGTGAGCTTATGACCTATAATGATGTCACAGAAGACAATAAAGTATCTTTTTGTATACATGAACAAAAAACAACGTAAGTTCAAATTATAATAATTAGTCGATTCTTCCTTATTTTTCAGTTCTTTTTAGAACTATCGCTTAAAAAACTTTTAAGTATTTATACAGTCCTGACTCAAATGTTTAAAGGGGAGCGTCCCTGATGGAGGTACATCATGAAAGGCGCCTCGGCCGCACGAAATTAATAAAGTGTTATTTTAATTTACACAACTGTGTACCTTTATTTATAATCACTTATGGTTAATACTTTTGTTTTCTGTTAGTGTCAATCTATTGTTGGTCATCTGTCAAAGACTGTTTGAATTTGATTTTGAAAACATTAACCTAACGACATAACACTTTTCCAATATATTTCTTCTTTGAATCGGAATAAAATATACAAAGTTACGATAAGTAAAACATTCTCGCTTATAGAACAATGTTATCTTGAAACTCGCTGCATATGATTGCATCTTTGTTACTATAATATCAATTAATTTGAATTCGTGTTAGCAACAAAATTTATCAAGTTGTACACAAGAAGATATATGAAGGCTACGAAGAAGTGATTCAACAATACAAAGTTGAAACCAAAGGAATATCTAAAGTGAAATAAACATAAATAAATTCACAAATTAACTGCCTTCAAGGTTGAGCATGATATTACAAACCAAAGAACAAATCATAGACTAAGCAACTTAAAAGCAGGACGACAGGATTACGACCAAGCTAGTAAGAATGAACTGCGCGTCCCTGAAAGGTATAACTGTCAAGAAGTTAATGTTTTGGCTGTTATATATAATTAAACAAAACGCACGTGATACATGTAATATATGAGGGTCCGGATGGGGTTTACAGATTAAAGAATGACAACAACAACAAAAATAACGAATAGAGAACCATGTGTGCAAATAAAATAAAGCATAGAAAATAATGGGGTGCAGAAATGTGAAGAATAACTGTCGAAAATAAAAGAATTATGTATTACAATACAGATTACAGATTTCATGTAGAGATTAAAGAAATAAATTTACAGAATAAGTCTTGATTTTAAAGATAATGAAAAATGCTCCAACAAATTAAAGAAGACAGAAATAAAGAACACCAACCCCCCTCTTTTCCCCTCATCCAGACCCTCATATATAGCCTTTTATAATGTCCTTTTTTACAGATGCCTCATAGTAGAAACAAGGAAAGAAGCTACAAGACCAAGTATCAAATCAATAGCATTAAACATTTTAAAAATTATCAAATACCAACGAGTTGTAATTTCAGTAATGCAGAATAAGAATATGATACAGGATTTGACCGTGACATGTGACTTGAGGTCAAGATACGCTACAAGATGGCGTCGACGACAAGAACAAGATTACGATATATCTTCAAAAAATGCAAGTTTGAAAGAGGGTGATATAATTTCACTAAATTTAAGAGGGAATTTAACATCAATAGGGAAACGTTTTCATATATTTAGATTTCATGGATCACAAGGTACACGAGTAAACTGGAATTTGCAAGTAGTTGATGATTATTCTCAAAGGAGTTTAGATTTTTATTACGGGTTTGTTCAATTGCTCAGTTTAAAGACTGTTCCTTCAAGTTTTGAGGAAGTAAAAACTATTGATGGACATGATTGGAATGTTGTACTAGAAATTCCAGTACGATTACCAAAGCACCAGATTGGTTCACTGCCTCTTCCAATCAAAACGAACTTAAATGTTATTGAAGAAGGTTAGTTAATTTATCATTACTAGTTAAATTTATTAAAAAATAACAGAGTTCTTGGTTGGATGTTTCTTTCATAAAAGTTATATTTTGTCTTGCAATATCTATAATAGCCGATGATTCATTCATTTAAAAAAAAATTTAGTCACATACGATATTGTTAGTACCGTGATTTTTAACAAAGGAAACTCGAAAAAAAATTGCAAGCACTGGATAGCAATGGTTTTATGTCTAGTAAGTTTGTGAGATTTAGAGAGAGATCGACTGACCGACCTACCGAAAGAAGAGAATGTTGTATGTTTAGTTGTTGTGCCTATAGATTTGTAATACTAAGTAACTATGTAGTGTTGTTGTCTGGTCAAAATATAATTATGGGTTGTATTTATTAATAACTATTGAAAGATATCAATAACGGCAATTCTAACGTACCATGCACGAACATTTCAAATGTAAAGTATGCACGAACAAAGGAAATGAAAAGTAAATGCACGAACATGGCAAATGTAAAGTATTCACGAACATGGCAAATCGAAAGTAATACGACTGATCTTTATTATTTTTTTATTGTTGTGTAAGTACAATGCGATTTTGTCATAGAAGGGGGACAACCATTTTGTTTAGGGGGGTGGGGTGGGAAGGAAGATTTATTTCTTTTGGAATCTACATTTTCACCTGTTGCTATGCTGGCTTATTTATTTCGGGTGACAAAGCCGTGCGAAAATGTATTTCAATTTTGTACAAACACAGTTATTAACTGCATTTTGTTGGGCAGAATGTTCACTTTGATCCTGTTTAGAGTAAAACAAAATGGACATCCCTTAAACTGAACTTAAAAAAAACTCATTAAATTCCTTTTAAAGCATAAAAACTTCCAAATCATCATGATCATAAGGAAATATTGTGCATTTTTTTGAGAGCCCAAAACAAACCGTAACTGTTTTACCAACCTACTGAATAACTTAATAACTGACAGATTTTACTACAAAGTGCTTTATATGCTATGTAACTTAACTTGATTATTTTATGAATATTGTGAAATTTTATGCACTTTATGGAAGTATGAACATGAGGATTTCAGCTTTATAATAATGACATGAATGTTAATATCAACAGGTCCAGTAACACTTCAGTTTCTATCTTCCATTGCCGACGGTTTGGCAGGACAATGGATGAAAGTTGCTACTTCATTGCAAATAACAAATGCCAGACTGCAATCACTAAGAAGACTGAACAGAAATAGCGATAAACAGCTTGTGAGAGATTTATTGTTTACATGGTTTAAAAACATGCCTCATGCCAAAGAAAAGGTAATAAAGAAGTATTCGGATGTCCATATAACATATCTGTTCCATTCTTGATAATAAGGGAGGACTGTTTTATATTATAGCTTGGGCAGAAGTTTGGCCAATAGTTCACCAAAAAAGAAATTATGAAAATTATCCAGCCCAGTATTGTTTGAATAATAAATGAAAACATCAGTATGGCCACTTCACTACAACAGTTAAAGTATGATGTCGCAATATCACTGTAAATATGCTAAAATTTATTATAATCGGAAAATATGTTATATGAATACATGTTTGTATGAGAAATAGCATTATCAATATATATATATTTCAGCCACGTGTGTACAAATGAAAATTGTGTAGCAAAATATCTTGTTTCGTTATGCTACCGCTCGGATATAAATACATGTATGTATAAATGGGTAATGTTGACAGTTTTTTTTGTCATTTGTACTTAAGTGCACCATGATGCAACGGGTGCGTATGTGAGAAAAATCAAAAATAAACAGATGGCACACTTATGTTATCTTGTAATCGACCTATGACGGATAATACATAATACATTTATACCACTTTCAAATGTCGAAGTGCCTAGATGATTGAATAAATACAATAGCTAGGTTATGTAAGGTGGGGGTTGGTTGACCGGGACGAAGGATGAAAAGTTTGGATTTCCACGGGAAAATTGGGGTATGTTGAATTAGAATAGAAAAAAAATGCCTTGTAACAGGACACCTATGGACCCCTCAGAGAGTTGTTGCACGGATTCTTCAAAGAGAGAGGTTGGCACTATCTCTACACGAGACATCGGATTTCACGTCCTCATTCAAACCGGACGTGGTTCCGTATTTATACAACCCGGAACGCGGACGCCCCAATATATTATTGAAACGGGAGAAGTCCAGAGGTGATTAAATTTCTATAACCCAGTCAACTCTTTGGATTTGATGCCGAAGAAGTTGTCTCATCATTGCTAAGCTTCTGCCTTGATGGAAAAATTAACATAGTGCAAAACGCATAATGACAGATTGCTGCCATTTTTCAAGAAGATAACCAAAGATTTTCTAACCTTTAGAATTTTGAATAGCGTTAATTTTGTAAAGAAAACATTATTTGTTTTGGGGTGTTTTTATTGAAAAATACCTCCGCTGTAATGCATGTTCATTTTATAATATGACGTCTTCCAGGCTTCTATGTTAATCAACGTCTTGCAAAATTGTGGAAAGCATGATATAGCAGATACGTTACGACAAGAAAACGAAAAGTACAATACAGAAAAAACAAAGGTAGCCACAGGTAATATACATTGCAATATTTAAGTGTAAGCATTTAAAAAGCCCAAGAGTCATGCGTACATATATATTTGTGATATAGTTTTGAATATTTCATGTAAATTTCTTAGTAAAATAAAAATGCAAAATGTACCGATATTGTTAGTCTTCCTTGTAAATATACATAAAAGTAGAGCGTTTTCGATGAGTTAAAAATATTGTATTTTCATCGCCATATATACAAAATGTAAAGCATGTGGAATAAACATATTGCCCTGATACAGTTGTCGCGCTTTCATAGTTCATCAATATCAAAGAATACAAGGTTTATCTATTTTCAGCTGAACAATGTTGTCCTTTCAAACGCCTTATACTTATATACCATGATGATTGACTTCTATGGATATTTTTCATTTTCTGAGCTAAACAGTTTGGACCAATCAAAACGTGCTTATAATATATAAACAGTTTCATAACTCTTCTTGAAGATATCGTCTTAATTCAAACATGTTTTGAAAGTATTTACTGTATCAATCGCAAACATTTGATGAGTAAGTTTGGCATTCATATATCAAAACTGGAAAACAAGGAATCGTACGATATAAATATGAATAACTGGAAGCTACTCCACATGAAACTGGTAGAGTTAGCTGCAATTCTAATGTAAGGGATAAACTCAGGCTCTCGAGACACATTTTTGTATCTGTACGAAATATGTAACTAAACTTTTTGCCGTGAACGTACCATTTTACGACAATTGATTCTTGAGTCTACAGAATTTGTATCTACATTTATTTTCTACACGATATATAGACAGTAGTTATGTTTTAATAAATTATTTCATAATATTTTTTCCACTAGTACACAGCGTAGAGAAAACATTGAGTACTGTCATCAAAAGCCCTCATATAATAGCGAAATGGAAGGAGCTTGCTACTGAATTAGGATTTTCGTTGGAAGATATCAACGATTTTCATAATTCTGGTAAAACTGAAGGAGAACGGTGTTTAAATATGTTAAGTCGATGGATAAATACAGGAAAACAGAGCTGGTTGAGAATACTGGCTAGATGTGTACGAAGAATAGGATGCAAATATGTTGCAGGTAAACAAAAGTGAAAAGATACTTTACTACGTGCACTTGTTCGTTGCCATCCGCGAAAAATAAACAGTGTTTTCATAGCCATCCGCTACGATTAGCATTGTTTTCATTGCCATCCGCGACGATTGAGTGTTTTCAGCGGTTTCTTTTAATTTCGTGTATTTTAGAGTTTCAAAAAGGATTCATCATTCAATATATTATCCTTTATATTATCAAAAAGTTAAGTAGAATATGCGCTTACGTTAACAAGTTACTTGCTTGAATTACACCAATACATTGATAAAGAAGTGAAATGGTTGAGCGTCCCTCAGATATTTCGCAAAATGTTTTATACTACAGATTTTTAATCTGTATCATTTGTTTTGTCCAATAGTCGAAAAGGAAGGGCGCCGCATAAAATGCATACAATAACTAAAGTACCCTTCAAGAGCATTTAAACTCTGTTGCAAGTTTTACTAACCAGGTTGTTTTATATAAAAATGAGTAGATGTGGCATGATTGCCAATAAGACAACTTTCCACCAAAGTTCAAAGGAAGTGGATGTTATCAATTATAGGCAACTGTACGGCCTTCAACAATAAGAAAAGCCCATGCCGTATAGTCGGCTATAAAAGGTCCCGGCATAAAAAATATGAAACAATTCAATTGAGAAAAATAACAGCCTAATTTATAACAAATTAATTTACGAAAAACAAATATGACAGACATGAACCAAGACAACAACTGAAATACAGGCTCCTGACCTGGGACAGGCACTTATAGAATGTGGTTTTTTCGTTAAGTCTGTGGATGTTTCAGTGTTTGTATGTCCTTCTAAGTATTTTATTTTTAATTTGTTAATGACACTAATATTATGAAAGTACGCGTGCTAACATTTAGTATTTAATGCAATTTGAAATGAATGCGAATAAATAATCAAATTATCACATTTAATTGAAGATCGAGTCATAACTAGCTAGTTAATATTGACACTGATTGTTAGAATATAGCCTAACTTTCCTAAAGTTAAGTATATTTCTTCATCGATATTCTTCCATCTTTGCAATAACGCAGCGAAAAAAACAGAGGAATAAATAAACTCGGTGTTACATTGCATCCGTGCAATAATTATTGTTTTCAAATACTATGAAATTTCAGTGACAAATTGAAAGAGATAAAAAATAAAATGGTTGACAATGATTTTATTTATATACTGATTTTTTTTTCTTTTCAGATCATTTATTGTCAACTCTTGTAAAACAGAATCAGCTAACCTATGAACAAATTAACTGAAAGTGGACTCAAACTTGCATGTGCATCCATCATGTTTATTGAAACTGCAGCGTGTAAAATGTTAAATAAAGTACTTCCAATAATCGTTAGACAAAACAGTTGCAATAAAAAAATATTAACATTTTTCTCTGTTTAAGTATCATATTTGATATTTCTGACGGAACTTTCACTTTTTCTATATCATACCATTTCATTCCAATGCGTTTTAACAAATGGGTTAAGTGGAATATATATGTTCTCAACTCGTTAATGTATTTGGAATAGGTCGACCAGGAGAGCAAAAAAAAAATTAGCAAATCTCAATTACAGAAAAGTCTTCTGTTGTGCTTCATCACCGACCTTCGATCCACATAGTTAAAATATGTCAAGACGGGGAATAGGAAACAATAGGTAAATCTCAATTTAGACGAACATTCTAAACAGTCTCTTGTAAGATTAGACCGCGACATCGTCGCATAGTTAGTATTGCACGAAGTCATTCTTTTCCCAGATTGTGTATACCGATTATACACGGACTCCGTTTGAGGTGTACTATTTGATATTTAAGTCTGTCCTTTTATTAGTTGATAGTGGGCTTTGAATTAGCTTTCGGTAACTGCAAGAACTTTGTGTCTTTTGACATTTTGATAGATTTTCAGTGCTTATAAGTGTTTCTCGTTTCTCGTTTTTTATATAGATTAGACCGTTGGTTTTCCCGTTTAAATGGTTTTACACTAGTAATTTTTGGGGCCCTTTATGGCTTGCTGTTCGGTGTGAGCCAAGGCTCCGTGTTGAAGACCGTACTTTGACCTATAATGGTTTACTTTTATATATTTTGACTTGGATGGAGAGTTGTCTCATTGGCACTCATACCACATCTTCTTATATCTATTAAAGCCGATCTGATGATACATGCCCTTTCAACTAATTTTAACTTCAGTTTGTTATAATACTTTTTTGTTACTCCAATTTGGGGGAGTTCAGAGCTTATAAACTTGTTTTATCCGTCACATTTTTTATGAATTTGAAAATAAGGAGAGTGGTATTATTGCCTATGAGACCACTAACAACCAGAGTCCAAAATAACGTGGATTTAAGCAAACGTATGTCATCATACGGCCTTTAACAATGATCAAATCCTATACCGTATAGTCAGCTATAAAAGGTCCCGACATAGCAAAGTGTAAAACAATTTTAAACTAACGGTCTGATTTATAACAAAACAATTAACGAAAAACAAATATGACAAGCATTAAACTACGACAACAACTGAATAACAGTCTACTAGCTTGGGACAGGCAATGATGAATGTGGCCTTAATGTGGATAATAATCTACTATTAATTTCACAGGCACTTGTCACTGAGAAAATACTCTACGTACCTTTACAAGTTAAAGGTATATACAAGTATGTATATTTGTTAGAGACAAGTGCGTGTTCAATTTTCAGAATTGTCAGACTATTGACGTCAAATTTAGTACATTTAGATATGATCAAACAGATTTTGCTCCCATCTTAAGGCGTCGAATATAATTTGAAAAGAAAGTACTTGTTACTTGTTAAGAATACTTTTCATTCGATCTAGACATTACATCATGTACATAACATGAAACCGTCTATAAGCTAGGCAGAATATGTTTCTACTTTGTCTTATTTAATCTTAATAATAGCAAGTCTTTAAAGTTCAAATACAAACATAAAGAAAATACTTGTAACCAAATAGAGGATGCCTTCAGAAATGTAATATTTTTATGGATACTTCAATATTAGTTTATCATGGTTACTTCAATATTAGTTTTTTTTCAACTATTGCTAATTGTCTACAGTTTTATTTCTTCACTTAAACACCAAACTGCTAAGGCTCTGATTGATGTTGGTCCCAATCGAATCGGATTCAGAATTTGCTATCCTTAGCTTAAGGAATCCGTGACCATTGAATCAATAATGAACATATTTAGCAAAATTCCTTATGTAGGTCTCATGAATATTTTATTAAATTTCAATCCTTCAAAAGAGTCATTCACAGACATGCGATTGTGGCTACTGAAAGCATCAACTCCGTTGAGTTTTTTAGATATTAACATGAGTATTTAAATAATGACCTGTGATATCATTTCCAATTAGACCACTATCCACCGGAGACCATAGTACGAAGATGTAAACAACTATAGGTCGCCTTGATTAATTAAAAACCCATACCGTATATCGTATAGCTAGCTAAGGTACAAAAAGCTATGAAAAATATGAAACTGAGAAAACAAACAGCCCGATTTAGTTTAGTTTTCAAATAACCTCATTATCAGTTTCTAGATTAAGTCAAGAAATGGAACAGGAAGAACTGTATATGAGGTATCCTTTATGTCAAGCTCGATGAAATAGATGCGTCCATCAAAGACACCAAACTTTGAATGTATAAGTAAGTTACTAAACAAGACGTACAATATGGCAATTCATTAGAATGAAACATTTGCATTACAGATCATCGTGTTGTATTCCTTCTCCGTGAAATAAGGTTGATCTTTCATGGCATTGCCTATATTCTGCCCTAGGTTTTTATGATTCAAACTTTAATGCGTTTGGCGTTTAATATTTCGATTATTTGCCCTTTTTAGAGTAGCCTTCATCTGTATAGTATGTTCATCTGTTCTTGCATAAATAACAGATAAAGTTAGTGCAGGAATTAATTGATGTCAATATATGTGAATTGACAATGTCTGTAAATTTCATTGTATGTTTGTTATGATTTGGCTATGAATGGAATAATTTATTCAATCACTATAAAATTTCTACAAAAAAAGTATTTCCATTTCCGTATTTCCGGGATAGAAACAGGAAAGTCTTTCAATGCGGAATTTTCATGTTAAAGGTTACTTGATTAAACTAGATGAAACGAAATCAAAGAACGGATTCTAGGTTGTCATTTATTCAAAGTAAAGCTTTATTGACTTGTCAACTGATCTAAGCTATGTTTTTGTAGTAAGCTGCTGTTTTATTGACATTTAACATTAAAATTATTGTATAACATCAATTTTTGTACACATTCCTAGGACATATCATATCAAACATGATGTTTATTCCCTTTCAAAGCACGAATTTAAATTTTATTTTCTTTAATCTAATAGAATTTGGTCCAAAACTAATTATATTAATTGATTTTATGGTGGTTTTCGTAATCATATTTACATCAATAACCAGATTTAAAAAAAAAGATGAAAAGTCAGTTGTGTCATATTTTTGATACTATATCGTTTATCGCACGCATCTATACACATATATAGAAAAAAAACGAACTCGCGTCTTCAGTGCGCGATCATATGAGACTTGGTGCCCTTATTCTGACTCAAAATTTCAGTTTTCTTATTTTCAATGGTTTCACTTACTAAAGTACGAAGTTTGATCCAGAAACACATACTGTGGGCACGATAAGCAAATCTTTTTGATGTTGCCACTAATTTTTATGCTGATACTTATTATGTATTGGTTACAAAATGAATCACCTGATTCTGTCACATGTTTCCATTTATCATATATTAAAGCAACCCATGGTAAGAATTAAGTTTTTAGCTCCGCCCACCCATTTAATCTACACTTTGTTTTCCAAATGTTCGTGTACTTGCGGGAAACGGTTACACTGTGTAGAATTATCACCGGATATAGGTAACCCCGAAGCGATGAATAGCAAAGAGTATCTATTCCTCATACAGTAAAAACTATTCGCCGTACAATTCATTTATCCGCTTTATTTACACGAATTTCTCTGTGAAAACAATAGTGTATTTCGAAATACAGTGTTGTTCCAGCTTAAACATGTTAAATATGATAAAACTTTGTTCTACTAAAACGTCAAATGAATAGTTGAAGGATATTAAAAAAATGTATTTAAAAAAAATTGAAATGGTCATATCCTTTTTTGAATAGGTACCAACCGGTCAAATTGTGACGATTTGTAGGGAGAGAAAGCCAATTAGGGATCATGATCAGCCTTAAATAGTATTCTATATTATTAGGAATCCGTTTCACAAAACTTTACTTGTTAGTAAAATGTATAATATTATAATGAAAATAAGAAGAATTTGACCTTACCTGACTTCGCATTTGTTTTTTTCTACCTCTCCGGGGGTACCTATACCCGGTGGTGATGCTTCACAATGGGTTAATGTTTTTAAAATATTAACATTTGTATTTACTTGAGATTTAGTTAACATTTATTTGTGTTTTGTTTGAATAAATAATTGATAGAAATAGGAAACAATCAAATATAATCATAAAATATAAAAAGAAAAAACGGTCTACAACACAGAAAACTAAAAAACTTAGCAACACGAACTCCACCAAAAAAACCGGGCGTAATCTCTGGTGCTCCGAAGGGGTAATCAGATCCTGCTCCACATGTCACAGTCGTGTTGCTCATGTAACTATAATTCGTTGATGTCACATAAGAGGACAATAGGAAGGGATTGAGGTTACGACAATTAAAACATATACATTGTCATCTGTGAAACATATTTGCCATAAAGGCAACAGTAGTATACCGCTGTCCAAACTGTCAATCAACTTGAGATGGCGTCTGTAAAATCTTCGAAGGGATTACTTTAACTTCACAACTTGTTACCCTTGGTTTGATAGCATCATTGTAAGCAGCAACCCTCAATCAAGGAAATCATGATAGGGAATGCAAGCTCTGGAAGAACGTATCACGTGGATATATATACTCCTTATGCAGGCGCTGTAAGAATTTTGCTACATATAATTAGAAATTTTACAATTGGGAAGCTTAAATCATCTCTTTTGTCGGAAAGTTTCGTTCTCAACCAATCATCAATGTCAATTACTAGATGTAAGTCCTGATATAGATGTGTTCGAACATAGTCACAAAACTTGGAATTGTTTAGTATAAGGACATAGTCTAAATAGCGGAACGTGAAAATTAAAGGATACTGCTAGCTTCTTTTTATTCTTCCAACGAAGGTCCTGTATGATGTCTTCCTCATATGAATAAAGGAACAAGTCGCAAAGAAGAGGAACACGGTAGGTTAACATTGCAATGTCGATTGTTTTTTTTATTTAAATCTTCTAAACGTATCAAATATTTTGTCAATCATGGAATC